ACAGTTATCTCCCCATGTTATAAAGGTTTTCTATACAACAAAATTCTCTCTCCAACGAACTTTAATCAGGTCCCTTGAGGTTCGTTTTAGGCAAGAGTTCACCTGCACCAATAATTTTACATAAACTTATATTTGCGCAGAAGCCTATTCAACTTACTTTCTCTTCATCTTGAAATCCCCGTCGGCGCCAAATTTGAAATCAAAAACAGGAAGAGGATCCGTCAGAGGCGTGTAGGAGGTTTTGGGCAACTCAGCCAAGTGCATATCATGTACCCCATTCGTTCCGGGGCACTTGAGTTGGTCGGCAGTGGGCATCAAAATTTGCTGTTTTCCATCCGCTGTTGGCAACTGCACCGGAAGGAATGTGTTCCAGGATCGAATCAGGGAAGAGTCAATAGGTACGGCGTAAATTGTTCCCCGGTCAGGCACCACGATACAGTCAGTCTGGAAAATGAGGCAGNATATTTGCGCAGAAGCCTATTCAACTTACTTTCTCTTCATCTTGAAATCCCCGTCGGCGCCAAATTTGAAATCAAAAACAGGAAGAGGATCCGTCAGAGGCGTGTAGGAGGTTTTGGGCAACTCAGCCAAGTGCATATCATGTACCCCATTCGTTCCGGGGCACTTGAGTTGGTCGGCAGTGGGCATCAAAATTTGCTGTTTTCCATCCGCTGTTGGCAACTGCACCGGAAGGAATGTGTTCCAGGATCGAATCAGGGAAGAGTCAATAGGTACGGCGTAAATTGTTCCCCGGTCAGGCACCACGATACAGTCAGTCTGGAAAATGAGGCAGAATGAAATTAGACATTTGCAATCGAATTGCTATCCCAGAAATTTCCCGAGTGATGAACATCTTTCAACTACTTTCACATGAATCGAAAACGGTCTCCGATCTAAATGAGGGCTCAGTCAAACCTACATAGTAAAATACGTCTTAACACACCACGTGGTCATTTTATGACATATCACTACGAAATATGTTTTTTATGACAATGTTACCCAGGGCTTATACGTCTGGTAATTAATAATCTGACTGTGTCTATATGCTGGAAAATCTACATGATGGACCAATTTTCCATCTACAGTATTTCTATGGGAGAATTTCTTATTACTCCACAGGTTTGGCAAAAAATTTGGAAAAGGCCTCCAAAAATTCAATAAAATGTTTTTTGCCACTTTGGAACACTGCTGGAAAATCTGCATGTTAGATCACATTTTTCACTTCACAGTACATCGGAATTTTTAAATCACTTGTCAGACTTAGAAAAAAATTTGGAAACGTCCTCCAAAAATGTTCTTTTGCAACTCAGAATAAATGCAGAAGAAACAGAATCTGCCTTTTTGGCATGAAATTCAGTTTTAAAAAAGGCACAAATATTACAGTAATAAATTGTACAGAGTTGCTGGAAAATCCTTCAAGAGAAGCACAAAATTAGCCTACCCTGAAAAATGAATTATACACACACAGGTGAACCATCCCTGCAATGATTTTCTATTTATAACGAATATTTTCTTGGCCCCGTGAGGTTTTTTCCCTATGCTATAAAAGTTCTCCACAGTACCACGAAATTCTTTCTACAGCGAAATTTTTTTTTATAGGGAACTTAAAGCACCATGTCTATCAGGTGTACATCTTCTACATAAAATTTAACAAAAGTAACGTTATCGAGTTAAGCAAGTTCTATTCATACTCATCTTTTAACCTGAAGAATAAAAAGAAGGGATGAAATTCTTTTCTTCTGATGATTGTTTAAAATGAAGCCATGCTGTATTCTTCAACTCGAAAACTCCAGGTCCATTTCCCATTTGTTTTTGCAGTCTCTTCAAATTCAACATCATGAGGTTCAACTGTAGTTTTGAAGAAGTAGGGGAAAAATGTAAAAGTTTCACACCTCGAGGAGGTGCTCGTGCGCGTGCTTGAAGATCGAGATGGCACCTTCTCCGATCAATTCGGTATCAAAGATTTCAGTGACCAGAATGTTCGCTTTTCTCGGAAGGTCCTTCCCTTCACCAACTTCCAACTCTGTCGATCGTTTCGCCACCAACTTCACTCTGTCGTGAAGCCCATTAACTCTGAGCACCTCTTGGCAAACCTTGGCCATTGGGTTGAACACCTGGAACGAAAAAAAAAATTTTCTTTTCCTGAACTTTTTCTGATATCGCCTTTAAAAAATGTATTTTTACAAACATCCAAAATTTGACGCATTTTTGTAGGTATGCTTTACGGTGTCCCGAGCTCGACAAGAAGCTAACAATCACAGGTTGGTAAAAACTGAATCACTGAATTTTTTTTTCTGCATGTACTGTAATATCTATTCTTCGCAAAATACTCAGCACCATGTCATTGGATAATTTGAACCGGATTGATTTAAATTGCGAGGACATGATACAAATGCAGTTCCAAAAAGACGTAACAAGCTTGAAAAAATACGAGGGTTGGTTCAAAAGTGTCGTCAGTCATGTGATTCCCTCATTTGTTGGATAAATGAGTGGATGACGAATCTTACTTTTACAGAATAGTTTTACAGATCATTTTCCGCTCAACATTCCATTTTTTCCTCACCGAAGAACACATATTCATCTCTCATAAATATTCAATGACTCCGAACACAACAAAAATATACTACATAATTTACAACATTTTCTCATGATCATGTCCCAAATCCGTTGAACTAATGAACAGATAGATCTTCGGGCATACTCTAAATAAATTAATGTCAAGGTACGAACAAAACTTGTGAACCACCCCTTGTACGTTATTTTCGTCAGTCTCTTTCTCGCCAAGGCAAAAAATATGTAGTTTCCATCGGCTCAACTTTCAAACGTAATTTTTTTTTTTCTTTTCTTAAAAATGCGGCAAAAGTGACGCTAGAAGATAAATTTTACTGAAGATAAAATTACTGAAATATCACCTCACAAGCAACAACGGAATCAGCACCAGCTCGCGCAGCTAACATGGACAGCAAACCAGTGCCAGCGCCAATATCCAATACGTGAGCAGCTTTTCCAGCCCTCTGCAAGTTCTTCACTGCTTTGATAATGGCCTGTTCATACTTAACGTTCTGGAAAAATAAAAAAATGAATTGTGGTAATTTGATCACGTCATTCCTAAAAATTATATTTTTGGACTTACTCTGTCGTGGTCGTGAAGCATATCCGCGTAAGCCGACCTGAAAAAAGGAAGAAAATATTAAGGAATTGTGTTAATAATGACAGTTAATAATAATACCAATAATTATAATAAGTATTAATCTTTATTATCATAAATAGAAGTGGATTCTCTGCAATAAAATCAAGGGACCAGAAAAAATCCGTTGCAGACACCCTCGTTACAGAGAGTCCACTTGTAAAGGATTTCGATGGTGTTTTGGACTCACTTGACCTCCCTTCTCAAGAGATTGAGAAGAAAAGGTGCGTTCAAAAAATCTAGGTCCTTCAAAATTCGCACGAAAAATTGAAAGTTTCACTACAAAATTCAGGATCTGTGATTTGGGAGTGTAAGTCAAACCTCTCTAAGTCGAATTTCGAGGGAACTGAAAAAAAATTCGACTTAAGAGAGGTTTCGACTTTTATACATTTGAAGTACTGTACTGTACAATAAAAGGCCCCATTTTCTGGGAAACTTTAAAAAATGTAAATGGTAATATTCTGGGGCTTAAATGACCTCTTGAATGAGTTAAAAGGCTGCTGAACTTGAAGGCAGGGGTTCATTTGCCCAATCAAGTCTTTCACTTCCTTTAAAACTCATAAATTTATGGGTTTTTGATTTTTTTCTTTCTTTTTTCAAGAAAATAATGGTCAACAGGCCACAGAAAATTCGACTTATGGAGGTTTGAGGGGAAAAGCTTTCGACTTGGGGAGGTTTTTACTCTATCGGTTCCAAGGGGATTCAAATGGGACCTGAAAAAAAACTGGATTAGGGGGTATTGGACTTAGGGAGGTTCACTGTATTTATAAAATTCTGAAGGTCTTACCTGGCGATTTCGAGGTGAAATTCGTAGTCATCCGGTCTTGCGGCGAGTTCAATCTTGCCCTTGATTGGATTGTAGATCTGGGCAATCACTTGGGCGCTTTCGGTCATGATTGCAGATGCACTAAAACGCCGCGACACACTTCTAAAAAGTTTATCACAACGAACCACGCAACTGAGGAATACTCGCATGCGAAACTAACGCCGAAATTTACAATGCATCAACAACAGGAATTCAATAGAGAAAATATCACGGTGCATTTTTCAGTTTGACTTGGCAGTGCAGAACATTTCTCACCGGAAGAATGCATCGAATCTCTAAATGCGTGCTGATTTAAGAGCGACTAATAATTTTGTTACATTTGCTCAAAACTAAGGCTGAAATCTCTCAAATATTTCGGGAACACGTAACAGTTTTCAAAACAGTGAATTTTGTTTAGTATGAGCTGATTTAAATTCTAAAGGTCAGCTAGGATCAAATAAATCAATTAATTTAAACAATCCTCGCATTACTGTCATCCAACTTTATCGAAAGTCTTTGGAAAGCTGATGAATATTGATCCAATTTTCAAAATAAAATCACGAGTCTGAAGAACCCTACTTTTGGACCAGATCCTAAATTTTGTAAGTTTTTTTTACCCCAGTTAAACTGATTATAATCCCAGCTTAGCAAATGCCAACTCGGAATCATAATTTTTTCACCCATCTCCCAAAATTTATTTCATCAGTTCACTCGGTTTCGAGGTTAAATTTGCAAAATAATTTTTTTTGAACAAAACACATGAATATAATTTTGGGTAAACGTTCCAGCAATGAAAAAACAAAGATAAAAAAATAAGACTCTTTCAAATTCGCAGGATATAAACCAATTTCCTCAATATGCAGAAAATATTGTTAGAAACCCTTTTTCTGAAGATTCACAGAGAAAGTGATTGAGTGATTTTGCAACAACAAAAAAAGAGTCCATCATCAAGATTTGCATGAACCCTTTTTTTTCCAAGTCGACAAAAGGAAATTCTTTCATAGGTTCCAAGACAAACTGAGAAGCCGTAAATTTTACAGCAACTAGATTTCACGCCCATTTTTAACAACAGCGGCCATTTATTCTTCTTCTTCAACAGGAAATATTTCTTCGTAGGTACCGTGATGCCCTGAATGCGTCGTTTTCATCAAAACAAAATCGTTCATTAAAAAAAAACGAAAACAAAAGAAACAACCTCAGACAAGTCTTTTCTCTCAGTGGGAATGATCGCCGACTCGTCGACATGGCACATACACACACACAGCTCTGCCAAAATACATCGAGGAATCAATTCCACGAGTGCTAAATTTCACGACATATTTCTCGTGATCCAGTCGATATATGACGAAATTTTCGTGTAAACCCCGGGTAAAAGAGGTCGGGCACATCCGACTCCAACTGACACGATGCCCACTAGGTACACACGACCACCTTCCTTGATCACCAAGGGTCCGCCACTGTCACCCTGTGAAACGAAAAGTTGAGACAAAATTAAACCCAAAATTCTATATTAAATAATAATTCTATATTATTCAAATTCTGGAAAGTTCCAACATTACACACTTTCGTTATGCTACCTTTTTAATTTGAGTGTTGAAAAGGTATCATAACCCCAGAAATAAATGATGTAATGTACACTGGGTAAGGTTTTGTATCTAGTATCGCAGTATTTATGGTTGATTCTATTTGCGTAAGATGATGTAATTCATTACAGTACATTATTTTGTTTTTCAATAATGTATTACGTCATTCATTACTGCATTAAATTTTTCATTACGTTGTACATCAAGGAATATTATCTCACACAATGGTACCCCAAATAAGAGATGAATCGAAAAATTTGATTATTCGTACGATGGCTGCCAATTAGCTTCGTCGAGAAACTTAATTTATACAAAGATCCTAAATTATTTTAAGCCTCTAATTCCAGCTCAACTAATAAAAAGGCCAGTTAAACACACGCCAGCCCGGAATTATAATTTTCATGACCAACCATCCGAAATAAATTCAATTCACTCATTAATCAAGTACGACGAAAATATCTTTCAAAAGCATGAATCCCTCTCAATCGCGATAAACGTTAGGCAGATTGAAATTCATCGCTCAAAAATAAAGGAGCAATTTTTTTGGTTTTTAACCATTTCATAGTGGACTATTTTGAAAGAAAATTTGAGCATAGAATTACGCGAACAAGCGAACTAATTTCCGGTAAAACCCCTACTGTTGAAATTTCAAAAAACCTCATCTTGTTTTCTGGCCCTGATTCCTGAAAAAATGGCGAACACTTGCAAATATTCCAGATTTCTAAAGCAATGATACAAATATTCTGATTTCAAATATTCCCAACCATTGCCCAGGATGAGATAACGAAATGAAACGTTTTTCTTCCATCAATTACAAACCTGACAAGCATCTAGTTCTCCGCCAGGATATCCCGCACATAGCTGCGTCGAGAAAATGGGTAAATATTCTGCCAACTGCACTCTGCACAAATCGTTGGTCACCACAGGGACCTCAACGTTTTGCAAAATGGATGGAGTATATCTTGACGCTGGGGATTAAGAAGAATTGCACGAACATTAACGAGATCTCATTCACTGGTAAAGTTCTTTTATGCGACACATTATTCGTTCTCTAGACATAGCAATGACAAAATATTTTAGCGAGAGTAGATGTCACTAGAAGTCATCATTGCATGTCACTTGCATGTCATTCAATAGAGTGCATTGAGCACAAGTATAAGATTACCAGTGGTCCTTCACAAGTAAACCGACTTTAATCATAATTTTTTTTAACTTCTTTACATGATTTGTAACATGATGAACAGTTGCATGAGGGCACCCCTTCTCCCACATATTAATTTCTGTAGTTCAACAAAGTTTTTAGAACTAATATGTGTCCAATGCCCAGGTGTGGCTGGGCACCCCCAGCTTGTTCACTGGTAAAGTTCTTTTATGCGACACATTATTCGTTCTCTAGACATAGCAATGACAAAATATTTTAGCGAGAGTAGATGTCACTAGAAGTCATCATTGCATGTCACTTGCATGTCATTCAATAGTCATTTTTCAGACTTTTCACTCCTTCACAAAACCTTAACTTACCAATAATTGATAACCAGTGTAAAATTAACATGCTATGATGAATTCCAGCGACATCTACCCGAACTAAACCAAGACGTGATTGTGATGGACAACAGGGGAAAATAAATGACTTACAACTTGAACATTATTGAATAAATTTAAACACAGTGAAAACATTCCGGAAACCTTCAAAAAAATTTTCATACTTTCACTGGTCCTTCCCCAGCCGGTAACAACTGCACGTCTGCCAGGCACGTAATGTTCCGAGTTGTTGGACAAACAAATCGGTTGAACACTTTTCGACCAAGTCAACGGTTTCCGCAAACGAATCAAGGCGATGTCGTTCTCGTACGTCCTGCTGTCGTAGTATTTGTGTCTGATGACCCGGTTCGGGTTGATCTCGTACGACTGATCGTGACTTTGACCCGACAGGTCCAGCTCACTCACAGCCACCGTCAGTCTCGGAGCCAGATAACTTGGAAGAAATTACGCTGATCAGAATAAGTCCTGGGCACAAATTTTCAAATTTGCTAACAGAGAAATCCTTTTGTTTTTTGTTGTTGTCAGAAGTAAACTCCCATTAAAAAGCGCGCATCCGATTCCACAGTCATTTATTTTAATTATAAGTTTTAAAAATTTTCAGGCGACATCTGTGTAATGTCCCGGAAAAACAGAGTTCTACATCCGAATAAAAGTACAATAACATCAAAATATCGACTTTCACATCTTAGAATGGCCATTCATCAAGACATTACGTCAATACACGAACACAAATAATTTATGATTTTTTTTTCATTTCATTTCCCTGTGATGAAAGAACAACTTTGAAGGTACAACCCAGTTTTAAACATTGCATTAAGTCAAGTGTGGCTTTAATTAGCGACCAGCTGAAGAGAACAACTAAACCTACAAATTTACTCCATGTTCCAGACGAAACGTTACAAAAACCAAGCGACATTGGTTTTGAAAAATAAAATAAGATAGCTCTTGAATGGAATTTAATGACAAATTTGAAAAATTCTGACATTCTTTTTGGAATGACGTCTTAAACTTTGACTCATTCTGTAAAAACCTTGATCAAATTAAAGTACTGCACACCAATTTAGACATTAATAATTTCTTGATAGCATAATGAGCAGCAGTGCTGAAAATAAAATAAGAGAGCTCGTCGGTCGGGTAAAAATGACGACATAAATATCGAATCATCGTAAAAATCATGGTCAAACCGAAGTGCACCCATTTCGACAGAAATAATTTCTCGGTATCAATTACGCCTACATTCTACCGTTCGTTTAGCTTTTTCTAGCAAAACATTAGAAACTTTTACACGCCGTTCGGCCTGCTCATCAGAATTAGCCAAAATGCGCAGCAGTACTGAAAAATGATATAAGAGAGCTCGTTTTTAGAGTAAAATTGGAGCTTGAGAAAACCATGAAATTCCTCTTGCGAGTGACGTCATAAAATATCGAACTACTTTTTTTTTCAAAATGATGATCAATTTGCACCAATTTAAACACAACGATAATTACTTGGTAACACAATGCGCAGCAGTGAGGATGTAGTTTTCCGAGATGATGGCCCCGCCGCAAAAGTGCTTCAACGAATGCTTCATCTTGAGACTGACCATAAAGGGATACTCTCCCAAAACAGAGTTCTTCCCACCGACGATCTTCTTCTGTCGTGTGTCCATTCCGCACAAAACGCCGTTGGCGACTGAAAAAAATAAAGAAAAATCAGTAAATTCAAATTAGTGCGTCAAATTACGAAATAATATGTTACAGAAAATGTTGACGGGTGGCTTATGAGTGAGAAGATCGTATGAATGATTAAAAATCATGTTAATGAAGAGTCCGATTTGAAAAATAAATTTAAATTCTATCTCCGCTTCAAGAAACCCACACATCGAAAATTTGCATCGCAGAAACTTATTTTTCATTGATTGAGCAGACTTTCGCCTGATTGAGCATCAGGAAGTGTAATCAATTTGTAAAACAGCTCTGGGCTTTTAAGGAATATTTTCTTCGGAAAAGAACGCATCGGATTTTCCATGAAACTTTCAGTGATCACTTGATTTTTCATCACAGATACGAAACCTCGAAATCTACAAGGGTTGCCAAGTGACTTCGGACTTCTGTGCGAATGATTTTCAGAACGAGTGATGCTGTCAATTATTGAGAGGAAAAATAAATGCAGAAAATATCCATCGCAGACGAGTGACAAACTTTCCAAATTCTTCCTCCGGCGCTAAAATTCACGATTTTATCCTCAATCGATTCATTTCAGATCCTGACGTTCAAATATAAAAACGAAAAACAAAAGATTCCAAACAATGGACGCATTCAAAGCGTTTTCCAGTTCTGGTTCAGGTCGACGTCGAGTCAATGTCAATGCCACAAAAAAAATACATAAACGAAACGTGACAACTTATATTCATAATTCCCAGGTCAGAATCAAAGAACCCAGCTGACTGCAAATGAATACCACCTGACACAGCACGATTAAAAATGCGAGTGTCAAGTAGGATAATTCCGAAAATCATCTCCCGCAATGTCACCGCGATACCGTCCATCACAGCAAATACTGCACTTCGGCGCGTGTATAGGCCACGTGATAATATAGGCCGCCCATTTGTTCAATATAGGCCGCCCATTTGTTCAATATAGGCCGCCCATTCGTTCAATATAAGCCACTCATTCGTTCAATATAGGCCGCCTATTCGTTCAATATAAGCCACTCATTCGTTCAATATAGGCCGCCTATTCGTTCAATATAGGCAGCGTGCTAGTATGAGCTGCAGAGCCAGAGTTTGAGTGAAAAAATGAAAAACAAAACAAAAAACTCTACAGATGCTACAGACAGTAGAACATTGAATTTGGGAAAGTTAGGCATTTACTCGTAAAAAAAAATTTTACAAATAAAAAACTGCATATTTTCCAAACAAGGAAAAATTGAACAAAGAAGACCAAGATTAAGTCTGAGGCAAAGATGCTCACTTACAATAAATGCTTTGGGCATGAAATGAGGCAGTAGAAGGTTTTTTTTAAATCAAATATAGGCCGCATAAGTGAGACTCCAGTGCGGATATCTCGACTATGAAACTTACTATAATTTGAAAAAGTAAAAAAAAGCATTGTTGTCTTATATTTGATAGTGATTCGATTCACAGTTTAAGTAAACGAATGCTTCAGTTTCTCAAAATAAAATAAAAATTATTTCAAGTGAAGGAAATTCCACAAAAATTCCCAGTGCAAACTGACATTCATAAAAAATATTCTTATCAAATATAGGCCGCATAAGTGAGACTCCAGTGCGGATATCTCGACTATGAAATTTACTATTATTTGAAAAAGTAAAAAAAAAATGCATTGCTGTCTTATATTTGATAGTGATTCGATTCACAGGTTAAGTGAACGAATGCTTCCGTTTCTCAAAATAAAATAATAATTATTTCAAGTACAGGAAATTCCACAAAAATTCCCAGTCAAGCTGACATTCATAAAAAAAATAAAGCGATAAAATTCGGCCATAAAGCGGATAAATAAATAAAAGAAATCATCGCAATGAACTGATCCATTAATTTGACTTTCTTCTTTCTTCCGAGAGGAAAGTGACTCAGGGTATTTTTTTCGAAAATTATTCAGGAATGAAAAATCAATGAAAGGAAAATTATGGCACATTGCAAGTTCGTGTCACGTTTGAGAAACAAAAAGCAAAACTGATTCAAAAAAATTTTGTGATTTTAAAACATCAATTCACAATTGACGCAAGCATTGGAATTATTTGCAGAGGATTTTTGCATTTTCGCACGCATTAAATTTTGGTTTCCCGACCGCTTTTGAAAAACGGTTTCGTTCCATTGATCATTTCGAGCTTAATCTTTTAAGTGGCAACCTTTAAATGTTTCCAAGATTAATTCTTAATTGGTATCGCGAAAATCTTCACAAGTATTCATATCGGTTTACCGTCCATTTCCGATAAACGGAATTATTTTCATACGATAATTTCGAAATTCAATATTTAAATTAAATCCGTAGAACGTTTCCAAGATAGCGATTTTTATAATATCTTTTCGCAAACATTGGCGTGATTTGGGGGGGGGGAGAGAAATTCTCACATCTTCACACGCATCAATTTCGGTTTCCCGTCCATTTCCGAAGAGCGGAATAATTTCCATTGATATTTTCGAAGGTACTTTAAATGTCATTCTTGAAACATTTCCAAGATTGATTCTTAATTCGCATCGCGAAAACATTTCACCAACAAATTTAGCAATTTTATAAAATCCGTTCGCAAGAATTGGCGTAATTTAAGGGAGAAATTTTCATATCTTCACACGCATTCATATCGGTTCCCCGACCACTTTAAAAAAAAAAACGGAATTTCGAAGATTAATTTTTGAATGGCGTCCTTGAAACAGTTCCAAATTGAGCTGAAGATTCCATATACGGTGAGACCCCCACATGCGGACACCTCGACCTGCAGACAATTCAACATAGGGGCACTTATTTTTCCAGAAAAAAATCAATAAATAAGGCCCAACATGAGGACACTGACTCGACACAGGGACATTTTGTGATTAAATTGCAAATAAATTTCAGGCCAAAATAGCAGAAACAGATATTTCCAACCCTATAATTGATGCAAGAAAAGTTCTTGGGCATTTCTCTTACCAAATTACCATCCATATTTAGTTAATTTAAAAAAATTTCTCCAGCATAGAGGGACTTCTACTTTTTTTCACTGGAATCTTATTTTTGAAGATGCCAAAATTTCAGTGTACAGTACAGAGCACTATTCAATGCTCCAAATGTTCTTATTGAGTTGAAAATGTATTCTCTAATTCAAATTCAAGTGGCAAACAATTTTTTCAGGGAATTCTGAAGAATATTTCTTCCATAAAACACCAATTAAAAATTATATAATGTAAGTCTATGGGAAAACAAGACTTGACTTAGGGACATTTCGACTTGGGGACACTCTTGATGCATCAATTATGTCCGCATCTCGGGGTCTCAATGATAGGTGAAAAAATCCCGAATCATCTACAGTACATTGTGCTCCAAAAACAGGAAACCTGTTCCAAGAAACGCGTTCATAAAAAAAAACCCCTTTGCATAATTTCGCATCGGAAATAAACTGATTCATTATTCAGCTACAACAAAATATTGCTCTCTCTCTCTCTTTCTCCAACGTCAGCGATTGACCTCGAATTGACGGGAAAATGCCGACTTGACAGCAAAAGCGAAGGTGAAGGACGTCCGACTGAACTATTTCCGCGGAAAGAATGCGCAATCCCACCTCAAACGAGTTTTTTTTCCTTTCAATGTCAATGCCAAAGTGACCTCACTATTCGAGTCGGTCGGTCAGCACTTGACGACGTTCGACGCACTTCGGCGACCTTTCCAAAAAAAATAAAGTAAAATGAATAAATAAACAGGGATGAATCATGGGGGGAAAAAGCTATTGTTCTCCGGATGCCAGCTGCATTTGAGATTCGAATTTGTCGGTGATCCGCGAAAAATTTGGCTTTCCCTTTCATTCAAGACAGTTGAGGGCACTTCCGGGTAAAGTATTTCTTTCGTCCCGGAAGGAAGTTTATAAATTAAAATCAATGAAAAGGAGAGAATTCAAAACAAAAAATTTTTAATGAAAATTTGCGTCACGTTTCAGCAACCATAACGAAACGAATGAACTTGCCAAATTCGAGAACCACCTTTCGCATTCACGAGGGATGGTTCATACGTTTTGAAAATTTTTGAAACAGATTCAACCGAGTTTCACCAACAAAATCCTTCAAAAAACTGAAACGCATCCTGTGACTTCTGGCTGTTCCCGACGGTGAAGAATGATCAGAAAAGGATTGATTTTGATCACAATGACAGCCTCATTTTCGCCAACTAAGAGCAGCTTGATCAACTCAAGTGTAGTTATCAATTTTTGGCACTGTTCTGATCATTGGATTTATCGCATGAAAAACAAAATGCGTTGAAATCGGCAACACCAATCAAGTGTTGCCAAATGATGGGGCTACGCGAGTAAAAACAAAAAATCGGAATTAAAACTCCGTTGAATCTATTTCAAAAGTTTTAAAAACTCGTGAAACAAACCTCGCACACCTTCATAGGACTAAAAAAACAAATCCTACTGCAAAATTATACACGTTACGTCACCTGAGAACAGGCAAAAAAAAAACAGCGAATTTGTAACTCTGTTTACTTGAACTAACCCACATTTAAAATCATCCAGACTCGCCGATTTGTTAAATAGCTCAATTTGTTCAAGAAATCTAACAATTTTGAAAAAATAAATATCTCCCATTTTTCGATAAATGTTGGAAAGTGTCCACATCTCGAAATATTTTCCGAATTTCAGGCAGATTTTTTTCCTTCTAGTTTCAAGTGTCCCTAATTTCGAATCGTCCGTAAGTCGGGATCTCACAGTAAAAAGGGAAAAACCCCTTTCTCACACGAACATTTTCAAATTACTTACAGAAATTCGCGCTTTTTTCAATTCACTCGTTTCCAATCCCAACATTCAAATACAGTAAAATCTCGATACAACAAATACCGTTACAACACATTTTTCAGTATAACAAACTTTATTGAGGAATATTCTATGATATCTTAATGAAAAATCCATAATGGAGGTAGGCGCAGTCTCACATTTCACATTTCAAATATGACTGGTTCTTGGGACATAAGGTGGAATCAAGCACAAAAATTCTTCAAAAATCACCTGAAAATCCTCTCTTTCAAAAAGTATTCTTATGTTTGGAATGATGGTGGGAGGGGCGGGGGATGGATTGGGTTCAGTTAGATGGAAAGAATGAGCCCAGCAATACTCATATTAAAAAGGGTTTGAATGCTTGTGAAATGCTAGTGATAAAAAATTGTCAGCAATTTTGGGACATTCACCCTTACAAATCTTTGCATGAATTGCTAAAAACAACCTGGTCAAGAAAGTGTGCTAGTATTCATCTGTTAGTCAGAGTTTCTGTTTTTCATTTATTAACAATTAAATTTCTTTTTGAAGATCACAATTTTTAAACCATCAAAAAACATCTGAAAAGGCCACAAAAGGAAGATGTTGAATATGTGCAGGTCTAATTGAAAAAAAATCTTAAATTCAGTCAATAATTTTCAAAATCTCATTATAACAAATTATTCATTACAACAAACTTTTCCTGAAGTCCCCACAAGTTTGTTGTAACAAGATTTTAATGAGTAAAGAAAAAAGCTGCCCCAATAATGGACGGATTTACAGCGTTTTCTTGTTTTGGTTCAAGTCAATGTCAAAGTTTCATTGACATTGACTTGAACCAAAACAAGAAAACGCTGTAAATCCGTTGAATTGACTTGAACCAAAACAAGAAAACGCTGTATTTACAGCCTTTTCTTGTTTTGGTTCAAGTCAATGTCAAAGTTTCATTGACATTGACTTGAACCAAAACAAGAAAACGCTGTAAATCCGTTTTTTTTTTCTTCTTCTAGTTTCAAGTGTCCCTAATTTTAAATCATCCAGTAAAAATTCCCCGAGGGAAAACCTCAGTCTCTCACACATATTTTCAAACTACTTACGGAAATTCGCGCTTTTTTTAAATCGACTCGTTTCCGATTCCAACGTTCAAATATAAAGAAAAAAGCTGCCCCAAAAATGGACGCATTCAAAGCGTTTTCCAGTTTTGGTTCAAGTCAACGTCAAGTCAATATCAATAAAAATTTGACATTGACTCAAGTCGATGACGGCAAGATTTCTGCTTCTTCTAGTTTCAAGTGTCCCCAATTTTAAATCGTCCGTACGTCGGGGTCTCACAGTAAAAATGCCCCGAGGGAAAACCCCTTTCTCGCAAACTTTACTTACGGAAATTCGCGCTTTTTTTTAATCGCCTCGGTTTCTGATCCCAACGTTTCAAATATAAAGAAAAAAGCTGCCCCAAAAATGGGCATATTCAAAGCGTTTTCCAGTTTTGGTTCAAGTCAATATCAATAAAAATTTGACATTGAGTCAAGTCGATGACGGCAAGATTTTTTTCCCTTCTTCTAGTTTCAAGTGTCCCTAATTTCAAATCGTCCGTATACGCCAGGAATCTCATTCTGCAAAAAATAAAAAATAAAAAAATGCCCCGCGGGGAAAACCCCTTTTCTCACACACACATTTTCTAATCACTTACGGTCGACGAAGTTCTCTCCAGATCGTGTAGTGCCAGGAGACGGACTAGTAACATTTTCGCCGGCAACTCTCGACAACGTGAACGTCAAGGCGATCAAGGAAAAGCTCAGCACTTTCCTCAAAAGCCACGCGCTGCATTCAATGTCCTTCATTCTCATCCGGCCAAAACGCACTTATCCGCAAAAAAACAAAGGATTACGTCTACTGCGTTAAAAGACGGGTTTGGCACAGAGGTGATGAAATCAACAGCGGTAGTAAAGAAAGGAAGGATACAAGTTTGGTTTTTTTCAAGCAAAAGGAAGACGTCTGCACATTTTAACCAGGCCACGTTGTTTTTTTTTTTGTAAAGAAAATTGTTATAAGTACAGAAATCGTTTAAAAAGTTCACGGGCTTCTAAAAAAAATATTCGCAGCGTGATTCAAACATTCATATGAATTCAAAACTGAAAACGAGCCACGAAAAGACTGAACTAGCAAATCATGACCTGAGTCTGTGTGGAATTTAAGTACAGGAAAACGTCTCTTAATTCATAAGACGTCCAGTTTTTTATTAAAAAATAAATAAAATACAATGTATCTACAAACGTTCAAAATTCACACATACCAGGAAAACGAAACGAAAGTATGACATTGAATATACCGAAGATGGAACAGAAAAGACCAGCTAATTCACGAACGCTGAATTCATAAAATCAAAATTTTCGAACAGTAAACCAAACGTTCATAGATTGTTTTCAAGAAATTTTCGAAACGTCAACTGAACGTTCACATGAATTCACAACTTAAACGAGCCTAAAAAAAACTTCAAATTAGAATATTACGAACGAAGCATGTATAATTCAAGAAAGAAAAACGTTCACTTATTCAAATCACGACCAGTTTTAAAATGAATATTCAAGGAATACTCCTAACGTTTAAAACGTCGAGGAAAAAATCGGCTAATTCACAAACGCAGCATTTTTAAAAATTAAATATTCGCAACGTTCAAATAAAAAATATTTAAAATTCAACTTAAAAGGTCACATTATTTCGCAATAGGAAAGCAAGCCTAAATTCTCTGACCTTGATTATTTAAAAAAAAGGAAATCGACGATCAGCTAATTCACAAACGCTGCATTTTTACAAATTGAAAAATTCGCAACATCAACCAAACTTTCAAGAAATTTTGGAGGAAATATTCAAAACGTGGATCCAATGTTCACATGAATTCACAATCGGAAAATTGAGCCACGAAATTAAGTTCTCGAATCACTCCAGCACAGATTTTGAAACTTCAACAAAGAGGAACATTATTTCGCAATTGGAAAGCGAGCCTAAATTCTCTGACCTTGATTATTTATTTAAAAAAAGGAAATTGACTATCAGCTAATTCACAAACGCTGCATTTTTACAAATTGAAATATTCGCAACATAAACCAAACTTTCAACACTTCTCGGAGAAAATATTCAAAACATCAGCCAAACGTTAACATAAATTCACAATCGGAAAATTGAGCCACGAAATTCAGTTCTCGAATCACTCCAGCACAGATTTTGAAACTTAAACAAAGAGGAACATTATTTCGCAAATGGGAAAGCGAGCCTGAATTCTCTGACCTTGATTATTTAAAAAAAAGGAAATTGACTATCAGCTAATTCACAAACGCTGCATTTTTACAAATTGAAAAATTCGCAACATCAACCAAACTTTCAAGAAATTTTGGAGAAAATACTCAAAACATCAGCCGAACGTTCACATGAATTCACAATCGGAAAATTGAGCCACGAAATTCAGTTCTCGAATCATTCCAGCACAGATTTTAAAACTTAAAAAAAAAAAAAGATGAACACCCCCCCCCCCCCTCACCTCACCAAAAAAAAACCATTTCGTTTTGTTCGCATGTTTCAACTCGTCATCGTGGGAGAAAACTCGTCACTGTCGAGAGACTAAAACCCGACGTGAGCTTTATTTCACTGGAGGAAGTGAAACCAGAGTGCGGGGCAGGAGCCACAAGGTCGTGACTCGATTTCGACGTCAGGGGGAATAATCGCGGAAAACCTGAAAACATCCCAACAAAGCTTATTTTCATTTTTTCTTTTTGTCTTTTCTCCCTCCCTCAGTTTCCTGTTGACCAACCTTGGCGATGTTGAGGGAGTACTTCTCTTCAAATCGTAAATCTCTCGAAAAATGCGATTAGGCTAATTTCCAGCACTCAATTGACTTGGGAACGCAATTTTCGAGCGTTTCGAAAATGTAGAAGCTTGTCTTACTAAAGCACAAATAACGCAAGTTAATTTTGACCAGCAATGTCAAGCGACAAAATTCGAGTGTAGGCCGCAAACAATGTTGAAAAACATCACTAGAAGCAATTATTCCAAAATTATAAGCAAGGAAAAACTCGAGTTAGAAAACTACTTCTAATGTCTTTCAGAAAAAAATGTAACACAAATAAAATAAAATAAATATACATTAAAAAATTACAAGCAAGAAAAACTCAAGCATGGGCCCCGAATACTTGTAATTGGAAAAAATTGCTCGTCATGATGTCGTTCATTAAAGAATTACTCTACAAAATAAAAATATATTTTAAAAATGAAAAACTAGGGTATGGGCCCCAAACAATCGAAAAAGTGCTGGCAATGATGTCCTTCGGTAAAAAATTGAAATACATAAAACCTACAAATTTCAAAAATTAAAAGGGAGGAGAACATGAGTACTTCATGGGGCCCCAAACGATTAAGAAAATTGCTCGTGATGATGGCTTTCAAATTTTTTTCCCGATGGTTAATGGTCTACACTTGAACTTTTTTCGTTGAAACGTCCAGTAAAAATCTCGATAGAATCTATCTGTGCTTCAGTAATGCATTCTTGAAAGTCATCACTACAATCAAATTTCCCAATTGGTTGCGGCCTATACTTCGTTTCCATCTTAAGATTGTCTATCAAAATCTAGGTACGGCATATCTGTGATCAAATAAGGCACTGAGTATTTTCGAAATGCGTACCCAGTTCAATTTTGCAGATTAAGTCTAATCGCATCCCCCAGAGACTGAAAATCATCATTACACGCAAATTTTAAAGAGAAACTATAAATATAACTAGTCAATAAGAATATGAATTTTGATACAAATAATTATGAACAAACATAAGTACGGCATGTTAGGCCGGAAATGCGCCACTGCTGAAAATGATTTTAATGATTTTCATACAAATCTCATAATTTCTTGTAATTATCGAGCGTATATGAGGCATAGATGAGTCTGCGTTGCGGCCTATAATCGAATATCTCTAACACAGGCCACACCCGCGTTTCATGTCCTAAAAAATTCCTAACGCTATTCGAAGAAAAAACATTGAAAAGCGTCATGAAGCGCTCAAGAAATGTCATGAATTTTAATTTCTATCTTCAAATTAAAAGTGATTTTGAATGCCTCGAAAACGGAAGAAATAATTGTCAAATTAAAAAAGCTGCTAGTGCGCGGAAGCAGGATTATTTATTCATTAAGGACAGTAACATAACTTATTATCAAGTTTTTGGATCATCATTTTAAAAAATCAACTCGAACAGAACTCAAATGCTTGAGTTCGTGTCGGAAATTTTTGTTTTCGACACGGCACTTCGAAAATGTTTTCGTGGAATTCCTCCGCCAGCCCAAAAGTGTTTGCGAAAGCCCTCTCATCAAACCCGAAAATGTTCGCATCAAAGAAACGATTCCGCAGTTTTCAAGTTTACAAAACCCCACCCCTCAAAGTATCCTCATCAAAGATCATTCATAACTCGCAAGATCATTACATGAACTTCTTCACCATCATCATCATTCTGAAGAAATGCAACCTTCGAAAAATTTTTTTTTTCAAAGCCACGGCCGAACCTTGGGCCAGAAAAGGCCGGGGGATGAGCAAACAACCATTTTCGGAAGAACTGCTGATACGACCGATTCTAGCAATGCATATTTGCTCAGTTTCAGTGCCTCACTCATTGCTGATAATGCTGATCCAGACAAGAGTGATATACACGGGAAAGCCGACTGTTGGCACTCGGGGAATTTTCGCGAGGAAAAATGCGTGCTTTTCAAACCTTCGTAATAAGATATAATGTTTAATTTAAAAGAAGTTCCCTGAAAATCATCAGTTACTTCTTCACAAATACAGCAAATGAATTTTGATACCGAGATTCCATCCAAAGAGCCGCGCTTCGACGACATCTAACGGAGGAAAAACGAGCTAATTTTCAGACATACAGTATTCGGCGTTCGCAAGTTCATAGATATTTAAAAATGGCAGTAAATTCAACTACTGTATTTCAAACACTCATAGAATTCCTATGAAGAATATCAATGAAATCCACAGTTTCCTAAAAAGAAATGATTAATTCGGCCATTTTTATCTTTCAGATATTTTCAATGTGGAATATATTTGTTACCTATTTTAAATAATGGCCGGTCTCCAATAAACTCCTGGGGGTAGAGAAAGTTTTTGGGATAGACGCCCAAGGTATTCCAAGTTGAGTCAATGAAGACGGACACGAGCCTCATTTTAGTCTCATAGATGTCACCATACAGAAACCCAGCTTGGAACGAATTTTCTTTTGACTCATTCCGCGTATTTCTTGTGTCGGATTCGATTTCAAAAATTGAAATCGCATTATCGCGTACGTGATAACAGTAAAACAAAGTTGAAAAAAAAAAGAGAATTGAATTTTTTAATTTTCAGGGTATCGTATGGATTATCGTAGTGTACTGTAAATCGTTAAACGAAGTTCAGGCGACGAATTAAAGCGTATTCAAGTATTGTGTATTGAATACATTGAGATCACTCACCATTTCAACAATGTCGGAAGAAGTGGCCAGCAGACGTTTTCGCGTGCTTCGATCTGAAATGAGACAAAGCAACGAATGAATACGAATTGCCTTCTTCGATATACAGTACTTGAGAATTCGAGGAAGTCTTCTTCAGAATAGCATTTCAATCGTCACAAATTTCGGCGATCTTGGTGATAAATTAGCGTTCATCATATCAGAAGCTAAATAAATAATTACGAGGGAAATCGAATTACCTGTGAATCGGCTCGGCAATCATAACTCTTTTCCTCGGTAATTTGTACTCCTGCAAAAAAAAGAAAAGAATTTTTCACTGTAAAAAGTCCCTGGAGCATTTAAAATTGCACGTGAAATTCCTCATCAGCAATACGATTATCATCAACAAATTCCTCAGAGATCTTGGTGATAAATTAGAAATCATCACGCAGGTGAGCAGGAACTTTTCAGGAAGACAAAATCTCACCTTCGCATCAGCGTAGCGATGATGACTCGTCTCCCCAGCATTACGTTTCTCTTCATGAAAAAAATATTTCCTGTTTGAAAAAAAAAAAAACACCAAGAGAAAATTTTAAATTGCTCGAGAAATTAAGATCAGTAATTTAATTATCAAAAAATTCTCAGTGATCTTAAAATTAGATTCACAGAATTTTAAATTAGATATCGCAGAAATAAATAAATAAAAATCCACAAAGACGAAAACTCACCAGTCCATTGGCTCAGCGAAAAAATACTTCTCCTCATTGGATTTCATTCCTGCAAAACACGAATTCTTTCAAGTAATAAACGACCATCGAAATTTTAAAAATCCCAACTAAAATTCGTGTTCAGTATCGTGATTATCGTCAAGAATTTTTCAGCGATCTTGGTGATTAAGTATTCATCAGAAAATATGCATACACAATACTCTCAACTTCTATAAGAAAAAATTTACCTTTGCCTCAGCTCAGCGATGAAAACCGGTCTCCACTGAATTTTTCAATTCCTGTAGAACATTAAAAATGTTAAATTAGAAAAAACACTCGTGAAATCGAAAATTGAGCGTTAAATGTCCTCATCAGTATTAGGATGATCATCAATAACTTTTCGGAGATCTTGGTGATAAAGTATCATCACTACATGATTTAAAATAATTCTGACGATTGGAAAAAACTCACCTGAGCAGCGGCTCAGCTAGAAATGTGCACCCCCATCGCCGCTCATTTCTGCAAAAAAATGTTTCCCGATTTAAACTTGGAAAATAAAAAATGACGGGTATAATTTTTCATCAGTTTCAGATTCGGATTATCTTCAACAAATTTCAGAGATCTTGGTGATAAATCAAACTCATCATACAAAAAACTATGATTTCAAAACAACAACAACAAAACTCACTGTATGGATTGCCTCGGGTCTAGACCATGGTTCACGGCTGGTCGCAATCAAGTCAGTCATACCTGGAAAATTAAAAGCTTTCAGGAATAAAAAAATACATAGCAGAAAACACTTATTAGAAAATTCAGGTTTTCAGCATTTGAATTAACGTCAATAACTTTCAGAGATCTTGGTGATACAAATATGGGTCATCACAGTACATGGAACGACGGGGGAAAAAGGTCAAGGAAACTCACATGGATATCCACAGCTCCCGCAGACTCGTCTACCTGAAAAAAATTACAATGAAAGGAAGTTTCTGGATCAATATTCACGCAAAAACCTGAAAATCTTCAATATTCAGTATTTAAATTATCTGCATCAGAATTGTTAAATTATCGTCAAGAAATGTCAGCGATCTTGGTGATATGAGAATCATCATTTCATACAGATAAAAAGAGATGGTTCAAACGTTTTGTCAGTCCACTGCATTCAAACAAACTTTTCAATTACATTATTCTCAATTTCAAGGTGAAAAAAAATTCTCATCAGTTGAAAGATCCAGTTTTAAACGTAAACATTGCGTTCATTTCAAATTATCCAACGGAGAGAATACCAGACTAACAGAACCCATAAACCAACCCTTGCGAACAACGGAACAATGACATCCAGTGAAGGTAACTGACCTTCAGTTTTCCATCACGAGTAAAATGCTTGCCACACAAACGGAAATCCCAAAGGGATTCATCCTGCAAACAAATAAAAAAAATTTAATCTTTTGAAAGTTGAAACATATTTTTCATCACATGCAAGAGCTTCGACAAAAATTCAAAAAGCACCGAATCGAGGTGAGATTTATGACTTCCAGGGTTCTCACATTTACTTGATATGAATTTCAAACTGAAAAAGAAAAATGTATGCTCACTCTGCGAAGTCCTTCCGGGGAAAATATTCAACGAAGACTTGATTATGCTGCTTTTTTCGATTTCTTCAGAAAATTTTATTCTAATAAAAACGAAGCGCTCGACTTGAACCTCAAATTTCATACAATGCAAGAAGTTGAAAAACGTTGCACATAAGAATTCAACAAGATGAAAAAAATTGATTCGCGTCTCCGTTCCAATTTTCATAAATATCAACAGTAAAAAAGATAAATTATTGCTCGATCAAAATTGAACAACTCACCCCGACGAAAACCAGAAGAATTATCCATCTCGACCTTCCTGTAAACAAATTCAAATCGATTATTACAAGTGCCACGGTATTCTCAGAATTAAATTCATGGGAGATGAATCAGATAGAGCTAATGAAAATGAATCCACAGCAAATTTCTTCGGCATTTCAAAATCATCACGTAAGCTTCGATAAATCTACAGAATTCTTAGAAAAACAAATTGATTTACTGACCTGCCGTCTTCACAGATCACACTAGAAACTGCCGAGTAAACTGAAACCAGTCGCAGCCGCGTCCTTCTTGTCTTCTGAAAATACCATTCAAATCGATTACTGCATTACAAGCACATTCGTACGATTCAAATTCCGAAAAAGAAATTTGATCAGATAGAGCTAATGAAAATGAATCCACAGCAGATTTCTTCGGCAGTTCAAAATCATCATCTAGAACTTGGCAAACTTTAAATGAGTCAACGTTGATGCATAAATCCAGATTCTGAACTAACTTATTGATACAGCTCGAAATGACTTGTGCATCAAGGCGTCGAAGTTGGGACAGCTGAGCATGTCTCAAAATAGCGCGAGCACAGAACAGCAAAAGTACACTGTTCTTGCATTGAATGGTTCTCATCAGAAAATGATGCCGTATGGTTTGTTCCAGTAAACCCTTGCATTTTCTCCTTCTTAATGAAGATTTTTTCTCGTGAAAATCAGCTTATTTTGCATTTTGCCAGAGCATAAGAAATAATATTGATCATAATTAATAACATTCACAAATTTAAATCGTACTTCAACCACCAATTTTTCATAGCTGCATTTATGTTCTCAAATTTAATCTTTTCTCAATTCCGATGTTGTGAGATATGCTCAACTATCCCGAAACGGTGCCAGAAGACAGACATCGCATGGATTTCTTAAAACTCACGTTCTTGAATCCTCGGTCCAAATGTGACAAAATAAATGCCAAACGTAATTTTCGACAACGACTGCGAACAGAAATAACATATCAGGATAAGCATTACTGATCTTATTACGTCGAGCTCGAATGTCCACACATCAATGGTGATCATTAAAATATTAAATGATTACCCTTGGCAGAAATCCGAAGAATTACTTCAAGAAAATATGACTTGAATCACCTGACGTCCCTTCAAAATCGTACTACTGTCAGAAACGCAAGAAAACTACAAAAAGCGGAGAAATTTACCAGGAAAAAAGGGCTTACGAAAAAATAGAATAAATTCTGTATTATCTCATGCATACACATCCCACCACTTGAATCTACAATATTGTCATAGTATTGGGATTCTCCTTTCTTTGAAAAAAAAATCTTGATTCGTGAAAGGAAGAAAAGGAAATCTCACCAAGATGATCCACATATCTTCTGCAGTCCGCAGCTGGAGTCTGCAAAAAATTGAGCGAAATTTAAAAAAATCTGAACTTGCTGCGGAAAATGACATCTCTTCTTTAAAATTTCAGATAGAGCTAATTGATAATTCAGCATAAATTCCTTCGGCCATATATCTTTAATCATCATGCGGAAAATAAACAGACACACAGAAAAATTGGAATCAATTGAACTTACCTCGATAGTTGGAGTTGTTTCCGACAATCATGATTTCTCAAGTGGATTCTTCATCAAATTAGCATCACTCAAAAAATGTTCCCTCAACAGATCTGTTGAATAAAACGAACATCAATGAACGAAGAATAGTCTCCTTTGATGACTAGCATCCTCGAAAATAATTTCAGGAAGGCACAAAGAAAACACGGTGGATTTTCATTACCAAAAACGCTCTGGATAGAATAACGGGGCAAAAAATCAAGAATACAAAACCATTAAGCGCCGATGAAATTGTTTTTAAACTGCTAAACCAGTAATAAAATGAACAAATTAATTGATGACAGGAATTATGCGCTTCGCCTCAAGAATCAAAATCAAAATTTCTGCGAACAATAATAATACCGTACAAACTTTCAAGCTCAAACATTTGCACTGCGATTCTTGAGCTTAAATTGATCACGTGCAGCAGAACCGAGCCCATCGTTTAGTTCGCGGCTTCAATTTATCCACTTGTTTGATCAACGGATTTATCCTAAGCTCCCGTTTCAAAATAAACCTCGTCTCTTCAACGGTTTCCATCACAGCATTCAGGTCTGTGGCAAACGTTTTGGCCAACTGTCGCAACATTCGCAACTTGTCTTCGTCCACCTTTTCAAATTCCTGCATAGTCTTCAACGCCCGACTCGCAACCACATGATGCGCCGCCATCACAGAACACCACAGAGCCACACAGCGCGTATCCGCTTCCAACAGCGGCAAACAAGTGGAAGCCACAGCTTGCCTCACGTAATCGCTATACACTTTTCTTCGCTTCCCCAAATCCATAGGAGCCTTTGACAACGCGACAGACAAATACTCGATGCTTTCCTGGCCGTAGGGTGATTTGTAACGATCAATTCGGCCTTCCAGGTATTTGCCGGAGAAGTCAGTTCGCAACGCGATGCAGGGCAATTCGAGATAGGCGATCCTGTCGCCGATTTTCCGGATTCCGAGGTCATCCAGGTCTTCTTCGGTGACTGTGAGGAGGTCCTTCAAACGGGTTTTCCCTCCTGCGAGGAAGCTTAGGCCCAGTTCAGGACGACATAATTGTTCGCCAATATCCAACATCCCTCCTGAGATGTACCGACCAGGGGCTACTGGGGGCTTAAGAATGGGATTCTGGATCCTCAAATCTCCACAAGGCTGGAAAGCTCCGGTCAACTCCGGTAATTCACAAACGATTTCTGAAAAATAAATAAAGAAAATCAATGCTAAAGCTGACATCAACATTTTCTTTCGAAATTCACAAAGCATTCAAAATAAAAATGTTTGAATAATGAGCTCCCCTTCGAGACTCTAAGAGCAATTGTTTGAATCGGTATCAGTCAAATAGAATCCCGAGACATGGAAAGAAGGTAACGATATACATTTACGTATTGTCTATGAGGGCGTTGAGAATGCCACCAGTAGATGTCGCCCTCTTTCGGATTCTAACATATCTGTTATTTAAGCGAATCAATTGTGAAAGCAAAATTTTGGAACTTCAAAGTTGAGATTGACTAGAGGGAAATCACTTTTCAGATTTAGAAATAATCCTGTTAGACTTGAAAAATTAATCCTGATCACTTCACACCCTAGTTAACTCCACTATCTGTCAGAATCGTTTTCTGAACAGGTTTCAGATGATGTTCACTTCAACTAAACCTGCAAAAAGGGTGCTGGTCAACGTGTGGCGCATGAGGCTGCATAGCTTCATGGAGTATGGTTATCAAGACATACTCAGCACATAATATTTCCGAACGGGGCAGCTAGGCCACAGCCAAAGCGCCCCAAATCATCATATTCAATTACATCATCTCAAACATAATGATTCCCACTTCACAACACCCCCACCAGGCTTCTAACAGATATTTCTTCATATGCTGGAGGGTATTTTGAAACAGTATAATTCAATGTGCTCCGACCTTCTTGGACCTGCAGACCAGTTAACTTACATAAAATTATTTTGCTGACCAGCACATGCCCAAAATAAATTATGCAGACCAGCAAAGTTTCAAAAGATTTTTCTCTGACTCAAAAAAGTTTCGTTTGAAAGACTTTATGGCATGTATTAAAAAGTGTATGCTTTTTTGCAAAACTTGAGCTGAGAACCAATGAAGCGCAGCTACAGTGGGAGGTCTCCAAAACATACAAAATTTGGATTCAAGAAAAGTTTCTAGGAATGAAAACTAATTAATAACAGGTAAAAATTTGTCTGAAGTTTTGTTAGTAGAAAAGCCAACTTGTATTTTACAACAGATAATTTAAACTGCCATTGTATAGTCAAACCCTGCTAAACTGCCACCCTCAGTTCCCACCAATATTTTCTGCAAAAATTGCCCTAATGCTAAAGAGATTGGGAAACCTCAATAGACCACCATCCAGCAAGTTTTTTATAGCCCCAAAAGGGCCTTTCACCTTTGACTTCTCCTTCCATAAATGCAAATGGTTTTTATATTGTTGGTTCATGAAAATTTCTGGAACTGTTTGCATTGGGATGATAAAATAATGTACACACAATGATTAGTTTTGGGTGCAAGATAAATATCCTCAGCAAATATACATTTATGCTGGTGAATTTAAGCATGGATTTAATAATTATAGCACAGCAATCATACATTTTTCACAAATTACAACCTTATTTTTTTGGGAAGATTGTCATCCGTGTAATCTTACATTTTTGTTGAGGATGGAAAGAATACAAGGCAACGTTGATTTATGAATAAAAAAGACTAATACAATTTTCAGCAATCCGAAGTCCCTGATGCAAGAAACAAATGCAGTTGACTAGTATAGGGCTCAAAAAACTGTCTAATACAAATGTATTTATATTGGGGGTGAGTTCTCGTGGACCAGTGAGTCAGCACAATTTTCTTTTTTTTACTAGGTTCTAGTTTCCTGTCCTCTATACTGTATATGCATGTAGGCAGCGGGATATTCCTCCAGGTGAGGTGCTATCCAAATAAACCACCACCCTTGTTGAACTGCCAGAATCATGCCACACAGACATTGGCAGTTTAATGACATTTGACTGTATTTCCAAAAATGCAGATACAGAAATAAGATTTCATTGCTACTTTTGATAAATGCATTACGCTGTATAAAATTTCTCCCTGACTGGTAAAAACTTATAAACACTGGCACCAGCCGCAGAGTACGGGTTGGGGAACACTGGCCTAGTTCACCCCAATTATTACCCGAGGAAGACAATGATAATGGTGCACCAACAAGAATAAATTAACTTTTGTTCACTGCAAAGGACAAATCATGAACGAATACAGTATACTATACAGTCTTGTACTTCAATGGAGCAAGGAGTAAATGAAGCACCATTGTGAAAAAAAATTTCAACGTTTCCAGATAGATGTCTCCGGTGCACGCATCTAAAATAAAATTACACTTCCGCCTTTTCCACCCCTCCCATACGAGGCATAACTTTAAAAGCTACTAACCTTTTCTTATTTTGTCGTCTATTTTCGAGGGAATCACAAATGGTCCTCCATCAATGAGCGTTTCCACAGCCCGCTCAACCACTTCATCAAGGCACGATTTCGCAGCTTGGGAATACTCCACGCGTCGCGCTTTCCGCAACTCTGGGTCAACAAGTTCATCTCTCGCAACCAATTCCTTCATCACACTTGACCTCCCAGCACCACAAGCAATGTGAAACGCCGTTCGGCCTTGTGCGTCTTTCCGCGACGCATTCGCACCCAGGTTCAATAAAAACTTTACATTCTCCACGTCACCTTTATCCACTGCCCATAGAAACGGCGAGTAACCGTTGGGATCCACGGCGTGTTTGTAGGCTCCATGCCCAAGCAACAAGTCCAACCAACGCCGTCGATCTTCGGATGACACGTCATCACGCCAGAAAACAGCATGGATGGCTTGAGTACCATTCACTGCAGCGTTCACGTTGGCACCGAGGCTGAGAAGTAATTCGGCCACGTCAAAATGGCCGGCGAAAATGGCTGTCATGAGCGCGTTTAGTTTATTCGGAAGCGTTTCGCGAATCAATGTTGAGTTCCCGACGAGGAGATCCTTGATTTCAGGCAAGATTGAAAGCTCGCATGCTTCTTGGAATCTTCTTAGATCACGTGAATTGTTCACTTGAAATTTTGGATGAAAACTGTAGACAAGCAGCGGATTCAGCTTCTCTTTTCTCGGTGAGGATTCATCCTCGGATTCGCTGATATAATCGAAGAGAGAGTCTGAAAATAAAGGACGAAGTTTGAAACTGGTTAGAAAATAAATTACTGTACCCGGTTAAAAATTACCGGAAATGTCAGGAGATCTCATAGGATGATAAAATCCAGCAGCTACATGATTTTCCGAGATTAAACACAAAAATCTCCAAGATAGTGAAGAATAAGGGTTCCAACAAGGAAAAAATTACGTCAGGGGGGAATCGGAAGAAGGAAAAAACCCGAATACCGTTGAGAGAAAAAACAAGTGAAGAATAATTAATTGGGTGATGGAAATGTTCGTTTCAATATTTCGGTACCAGCAGAATTCTGGTGTCGCAGGATTTTATTTTTCTAAATTTTTCAAAGGGGTCCTTTTCTACATACCCATTGAGTCAGAATCAGAGTCATCTGGTGAGAGGATCAACTCAACAGGTTCTTCAGCAACAGCTTCCGCAGGCAAAGAGTCGTTCATGGCTTCTTCCACTGGCAGACAACTGCCCCGATCACCAACCTCGCGAACCATTTTTATTTCAATGAAACTCTCAAACTCTGGAAATAAAAATGCGCTTTCGGATGACAAAATACGGCACATGAGGTTTCCAAAAATGTATTTACGCAGTGAGGAAGTTGTAAATTACTGTAAACGCAAATTTCCAACTTTTCCGTAATATTAAAATTATGTTATACTTGGGATAGATGTCACTGCAGTTACAATACTGCGCAATAAAAATGCGATCTGCTTTTGATGCCCCCGCTTCAAGGAGTTCTTTACGAAACTTTTTGCCATCGATTTCAACCATTTAAGAAACAAGAAATGCATACATTTTCACTGCATAGTAATTTTTGGTCACCGCCGCTTTTCTTCAAGTTCAAAAGGTAAAAAAATACGAAAAATAGTAAAAAAGCGTGTTACATTGCCCTTCAGTATCGCAACAGGATAATCTGGGGTACATGTTCCAAATCGGGAATCCTGCTTCGAAGTCGTGTCTGTTCTTCGATGAATGTTTCAAGGGTGAATGCGGTGAGGATATCCAGACGATTGATCAAAAGCTGATTAACAGGATACAGAGGATCCCGTGTGTCAAAAACCATTGAAATAAAGCGATATTTCGAAGAACGAAAATATTAAAAAACACGATCCAAAAAATCGACTCGACAAAAGTTCGATTGAAAAGCCCTCAAGACAGCCACCGTAATGACGAAACATCCGCACTAAAGGGATCAAAGAAACCTCAGCTCGGTGGTCCCAAATGGCAGAGGATCTCACATCTTCTTCAATTTGTCGAGACACCGGATAAGAAGAGGATTCCCACCGAGTTTTTCAATCTGGGCTCGAGCATCACTGTCCAGCTGTTCCAACGCTTTCAAAGTGTAGCTGAAGGAGCCAAGTTCACGCAGAACTTCAACGCAATATTTTTTCACTTCCACGTTGGATGTTCTTTGACGTAAAATGCCTGGTGGAGGATTAGTCAAAATGTATAATGGGATGAAATGAATTTTTAATTTAAACCAGAGCCAGAAAATACGAATATAAATTAAATTATAAATAAACTAAAAGCGAACCACACGGCACAGATGACGAACTGAAAATATTCAAATTGCCCAAGGAATCACAATAAAAAGTCAACAGAACCACTGAAACTTTTCTTTTCTTTCAATACAGCGGTTAAATTCATACGAATTTTTTCACCAATCTTACACACAAATCAGCTGTAAACCCTGACAAGACTTCGTCACAAAATCAAAAAATTTCGGGACAAAAATCACTCACTCATGACGCGTTGGTCATCAGGAAAGTTCCTTATGGCATGAATCACAGGAAAGTTGAATTTTCCTTCGGTGAGATCTTCACAATACGTCTTTGCCTGAACGTACTACACCTCCGAACAAGAACATAACTTAAAATGCAAAATAAATAAAAATTCGACAGTATCGCAAGCGATAATTTTCATACGACTCACGGAATCAGAAACACCCATATTGCAGTAGTCGTCTCGTATCTGGAAATACAAGCCTAAAACTTCCAGAAGTCTGGAATAATCCCAAAGATCTATTTTCTTGGGACTGAAGAGATGCATGAGACCGACCGCTAATCCAAATAACGCACCGCATTCTGTAAAAAAAAATGTTTCAATATCAACACAATGACAGACAGGGAAACCAACAAAAAACCGCGTTTCGAAGTGCAATTACCACATTCACAAAAACTGATAATTCGCGCACAAAATTGCAAGCATCAAATCAGCCAATTTACTACAGGGACGGTCACGAATTTCTAGCTTGACACTTGATATTTCCCGCACTTCATTTTATGTGCTGGCTTTTTTGGACATGCCTCTTTAAGGCTCTTCTTAATTTGCATCATTTTAAAGTAATAAATAATTTTTAAATTGAATTAAATGATCTTCAAATTTAAATGAAGCGAAGATGCGGGAAAGTATAGGACACGATTATAAAGCGATTCAAGAAAACATTTTCATCTAAATCACTTCAACAAAATCAGAGGATCTTCAGAAGTGATGAAAGCACTTACTTCTTCTGACAAGTTCCTTGTATTCTTCTTCAGTAGGACACTTGAACGTGTCCCGAAAATAAATATCCATCCCTTGGCCACGATGCAGCTCTATCACATGTCGCAATGCAAGTTTCAGGGCCTGTTGCAAAAAATGAAATAAACAGAAATATGTAAATCAGTGAAACTTCTTCATCCAGTATGAACAGGGCAATTGCGAGGAAACATACATCTGGATGACCGAGCTCGGATGCCTTCTCCAGTGCCATGCAGAATACCAACGTTCCAGCGTTCATTGTCAAGGGCATCCCAAAAATGCTGTGAGCCACTGGTCTTCCTCGACGCAAAATTGAATTGTCTTCGATGTCATCGATTCTAAAAGCATACAAAAAATTCCAAGATGAGTACAAAGTTGATTATAGGGTGCCCAAAAATCAGCTACGCGTCGAGACACTTCGTGCACATGAAAATGTGATATTTTATCATAACTCGTTCAATGCGCTGAGGAATAACAAATGGATGATTCAAATTAATCAACTGTACGAACTTGAAATTCGCATTTTTTTACATCAAATTTTGATCTACTCCAGATAATTCCTGTACTGAGATGCCTTGGTTAATGCACTTCAACTATTCCTATGAGAAGTGCAATACAGTGTACAAAAAGTTCCTCAACTGGATACTGTAAAGCTGCGCAGCGATGCAAAATGTACAATATCCGGGTCGCTAATTAGCACGCATGATCATTGCTACAGCAGCTTAGGGTTCTTTGGGTTGCGTGTTAATTATTACTACATGTCGCGGGTCAATTTCAGCTATCCTAGTGACCCAGAAACGCATGAACATATTTTACTTATTTATAAAAAATATGGGATAAAGTCGCTCACGCACAGCAAGCTCGCGTTGTGGATCATGTCAACGATTATGTTGATTTGATTCATTTTCTCGGCAGGCGTCTCGAACCACAGATTGAAGGCCTCGGATAATTCAGCTCGAACGCCTTTCCCGGGACTGTGAGTGATGTGATGAAACGGTAGGAGTACCTCCTGCCGAAAATCATGATTAAAAAATTAGCCGAACCCGAATTATGCGTAAAATTCAAAGACAATCTTGCTACCACCAACCGTCTCCATTCGGAATTCCGCCAGGCCGATTCCAGGTAATGCATTCTTTTGCCTGTCCCCAGCGTCATCTGGACTAACTCCTTCGCGCGATTCTTCCATAATGCAAATGATATCGATTACAAATTCATCCAGGATCAAGAGATTACCTTGAATAAAAAAGGGATGATTGAGAAATACCTGGAGATTAGAAGCATCATAATTAGCTCAACTCGGGATAAAAAATGGAATGATTCGACACGGATTTCCAACCCCCAAGAGAGGTGCATTTCTCTTCTTCGTTTTTTTCACCTCGCCGCTTCTGTCCGAAGAAGCAACGAGCATTTCCCTGCTGATTAAACAGAGAACAGGGACTTCAATGGGCCTCGTCGGAAGCCCTCGAACAACCAAAGAAAGAGAAAAGAAAGGCTCGTGATTCTCAACATTCGCCCCACGCGACACGGAAACGCTGAGAAGGCCTAGGGGCATAATTTAAACGCTAAATCACGACTTTGGTTCTGATACACCCGTTGTCAGCGTCTCTGCTTCGTCTGGTTTCTTCACATCTTCGGGTTTCATAGCAGGGAAGAAAAGAACTTCCTGTTGAAGAAACGGAAAAAATTTGTTCATTATTAAAAAAATATATTTACTATATTTGAATAGTAGAGCAAGTCGTTACACAGTATCAACAGTGACATCTCCAGTACAGCCGGAGCTCCAACCAACTTAAAAATCAAATGAAAAGCTAAATTATATCCAATTATTGATGCATCAAATTAATTTTTAAACATCGGTGAACTCGTGGGACTGTCACGGCCATTCCAAAACAGCACAGATAATTTCACCTTCCATCTCAGTTCCGCATTTCTAAGCTCATCTTAAAATTCAATCGGACGAAATTATACTAGAGTATATTTTTCACATTTTGAAGTATACGCAAGTTTCAACGACTTTTGTGCCTTGAACTGTTCAGATGTTACCTCTCTTCTAAAATTTTCTTCCCACCCAGCATAATTCCTTAAACCTTGGATTGATATTTCCCGTTAATCTGACAACAATTCCAAGTCATAGCGTTGAATTTCACTTGCCTTGATGTTATTGCTATCTGTGAGGAACATTGCTAAACGATCGACTCCCATCCCCCAGCCGCCGGTCGGGGGTAAACCATGTTCCAGAGCGTTTAGGAAGGTTTCGTCAACCATCTGAGCTTCGTCGTCTCCAGCAGCTTTGTCCTGAAAACAGAAATGATTTGTCCACGATTTCAACCCAGAAAAAACTGGTGAAAATTGAATGTTCCCCAAGGGAACATTCAACATTCCTATACAGCTATTTTCTTAGTCGAAATTGCCTCCAAAGAAATGCACCGAAACGTACCCATAAAAAAAAGAACGATTCCTTCTTTCAAAAATTATCACAAAAAAGAAGGAAAATTTGCTGTAAATACCTTTTTTGATTGACCTCAGAAATGCTCCTGTTACAAATACAGTATATGAACGATGTCCCCAGAAATTGGGAGTGAATGAAGAAAATCTTCGAAAAAAAAAATCTGAATAGAGGAACCATCGATGAATTTTTGTCACCATTTTATACATTCGACTAAATCAGTTTTCGCAAAAGTTCCACAAAAAAAACTCATAGCTCGCTAAATTATGACAAAATACAACAAGACAAATACAACAATACGATTCTTCGTTTGCAGAAACGAAGAATCGTAGCACAAATACTGTAACACAAAAAAGGGAAGCTTTCTCGCAGGCGAACTACTTCATTTCAAAATCGAAAGGTATGGATTCAGCGCGAGAAAAAAAAATATTCGGACACCGAGATAAGTTAATTGCGATGCACACGCATAATTAATTTACTCACCCTTGCTTGTTGTTGAAACCGCTCTCGTTGCACAAACGGGTCATTCAACTCTGTGTACGCATTGACAACTTCTTTCCCGGCGATGTACAGTTCTAGCCTCTCAGTGAGTCCAGGTACTGAGCGGTGATATTTTGACAAGGGACTCATGATTTCTGGATGATCCGTAATGTACGTTGGGTCGATGCAGTTCGGTTCAATCAACTCGCCCACCAACTATCAAGAAGAAATTACGGGTTCAGTGAAAAATTGGTAAAATTTCGTCGAAGGTCATGCTGAAGTGAAAAAAATTCTTCGAATAGGTAGACGTTTTAATGCAGAGGTTCAATCAAATTATACCCCACTCATCCCAATTATCAGCATTATTTTTAATTGGTGTCGCCTGGATATCTCAAGATTTTTTTTATTCTTATTTCAGATAAAGTCCGGTTAGAGATTTTTCAAGTGAGGCAGTTGGTAAAGGTTTCGGACAGGTAAAATGACTAAAGTGATGATTGGTGAGTCAGAGATTGGGGGCGACATCTGTCTGATGTTCGAATATTTAGAACCAGTAGCACAACACACGCGTCAAAAACGCAATTCTCAATAATAATTGATACGAGTTTACCAATATAAATTGAAGAAGCTCCTTGAAATGAAAACTCGATTTTTCCAGAAAGTTGTAACGGTGTCAGAATTCATTAAACTATCGCATTGACCAAAAATGGCCAAAATTGTATACTGTACATTTCTTTTAAGGTTCAGCCTTGTTTTCTGCAATGTCAATCAGATGTTTCCTGAAGCACTAGTCGAAACAGCAAACATGAAATAAAAAAATTTAAAACATCAGGCGACATCTATTTAATGCTTTGGAAAATCACGGCATTAGAGACGTCGTGCGCCGAAAAAAGAAGAACGAGTCGACAAATACGCATACCTTGTCTAAAAGTCGAGCAGCGGTTCGAGGCGGAGGGCAATTGATTTTACTTTTGGTAACGATGGCGTCCAAAATTTTCAAGCCCTCCGGAGTGCCCAGTTGATCAGGTGGCGGCAGTTTCTCGCCCAGCGCCTCTTCTAACGCAGGAATCATTTTGAGGCGCTTGAAAGGCGGGGTAAAATTGATCGTCCACACGCGCCCTTCAGCATTATCCCCATCTGGATGATATGTGATTTCATTGGTCCCGAACAATGATTTGACCAATCCTGAAAAATATAAAAGCGAGCTTCAAATAATAAAAAAGTAAAAAACCACAGTTGTGAGATTATTTTCAAACTTATTCACAAAAAATATCCCTCCGAGTGCTAAAAAAAAGAAGATTAACGAGTGATGGCGGTATCTGCTATACAATTCACACAGAATCAACTTCAGACAGGAAATGCATTGAACAAAATAGTTTTACTGCAAGAATAACACATACCAGAGAGCAGTGAATCCGTAATGGATATAATGTCGTTGTAGTCCGCGTAGGCCATGTAAAATTCACACGTGGTGAATTCCGGATTATGTGTCATGTCAATGCCTTCGTTACGAAATTGACGACCGATCTCATACACTCTGTCAATTCCTCCCACAACAAGCATCTGCGAAATTCGGATAAAACAGAGTGCAAATTATTGACCTCGATAGTATAAATAGCATTTGCTTCAAAAAAAATTCACACAAGCGTTTGCAGGAATTAATCATGCTTGTTCAGATAATTCTGCATCAATTCGAGTGCTCCATTCAAGCCCGAAGGGTGATTTACGGTTTACGGTCGCAATTTATCAGGTCTTTGATTCCCATTGAAAAAATTATCCTTATTCTTCTTCGTCATTCTTCTTTCATTATACTGTATACTAAAAGGAACAAAAGGGATATCAATGCCGGGAGGGAACCTACCGTGAATTATTTGTCCGCCCATCTTCAAGACTCGTAAAGGAAAGTAATGGACCACATTTTCTTTATAACGGGCCACAAGATACTATAAGTTTTACCTTTCCTTTTCTATATACAGTACCTTTAATTCTACAGAATTTTATTTTCTCCACGAGGCATGAAAAAGAAAGAAAAAAACAGAAAATACATTGGTTGTAATTAATGGAGGGAGGAAAGCGTTTCGGTCTCAATCTGGTGCAAAAACGTCATCCATCTCTCTCACATTGGTTTCTCTTCTCTTCGTCGAAATCCCTCCAATCAGTCAGATTAATTTTTTTGCATCAATCAATAATCAAGGAACAGGAAAAAAATTGTGTTCGACAGAAAAAATAAAGCGGAATCTCGTCACAACGAAACGTTTCGGACCGTAAAAAAAAAGTTAGGCTGTAAACGAAGATTCGTCAAAACGAAATCCAAAATAACCGCGTGGCTATTAGACAGGGACTAAAAAACAAATTCGTCGTTAGCATAATTTGTTGATAACGAGATTCTATCGCGGAAATTAAAAAGAAATTATAATCATGAAGTTAGTTTAAAAAATATCTTACGGTCAAACTCACCTTCAAATACAATTCCGGCGCGATTCTCATGAACAGATCCATATGCAGTTCGTTATGATGCGTCACAAAGGGCTTTGCAGTCGCCCCACCGGGGATCATGTTCATCATCGGAGTTTCAACTTCCAGAAACCCCAGCTCGTCGAAAAACTTCCTCACGTACGAAATGATTTTCGATCTAGTGTAAAACGTCTGGCGAGTCCGCTCATTTATGATCAAGTCCAAATAACGTTGTCTGTATCGCGTCTCCTTGTCTCGAACACCGAAATGAAGATGTGGAAGCATGTGCAAGCACGGAGACAAAAGCTGCATCGTTCGCGGGATCATAGACAATTCTCCTTTCTTGGTTTTCCCCGGGAACCCACGGGCCCCTGCAAAATGTAATATAGGACATGAGGAGAGCCTCGGTTAATGGACTTTTCATGAGCCGTGCACGTGGAAAATCCATTTTCTCGAAAGTCTGCTGGCTGAATATTGTATGGCTATGCTTTATAGATACAGTTGATCATTAATAACTCGAACCTCCCGCGGTCGAATACTTTAAGCCCATATCTGCATCCTGTTGAAAATGAAGTACAGTACAGCATTACAAAACTCCATAACTCAACTCGAGGGCTTTCCCCATCAAGCCTCCAAGACGCAAATTTTCTGGGGGAATTTTGGCTATTATTTCGGTGACCCAGGAAAGAGCAAAGCAATAATACCTCCGAATTTCTATTTTTTTCATCCTTGTTCTTGGAATTCCGTCAGAAACAATGCATTAGAAACATTCCGAACTCAAAAAAACCAAACCCCATCAAGCCTCTTGAACTCAAATTATCTGTAGGCATTTCTGCCATTATTTTTTTGCTCCAAAAAAGCAATGGAAACTTAACTTAATGCTTTTTTGAAATGGATTGAAAGAAAGATTGGTCAAATGAACATTTGACTCAAACTTCTACATTTTGTCAACTTATTTAAACGGGAGGTTTGGGACCAAAAAATCAGTGATTTAAACTTAATTTAATTATTTTTTAAGGGAAACATGGTAGTTATTCCACGCCACCAAAAACTCGCCCAAATGAATTATGTGAGGCTGTCATAAATACTGTATATACACACCGATTATGTCACCACGCCGAAGCTTAGCGGTGTCTTTGGCAAATGCAGCTTCTCCACCTTCGTAAAATCGGGCGTTGGCCATAACCTGTAATTTCACGCCTTCTCCTCGGACGTCGTAGAATTTCAGTTTAGCCCCCGACTCTCGAATGGCGTGAATACGACCTGTCCGGTTGAGACCAAAAAATAATAAATTTCTAAGCGTGCCCAAAATATTCAAACTTAGACGCATTTTTTTCCATTTATTTCCTCACCGGCAATGGAGAGACTTTCGTTTTCCTTGATCTCCTCCGGTTTCAAGTTTTGGTAATCGCGAATGAACGTCGTCAGTGATGTGGTAACGTTGAATTTGTGTGGATAAGGATTCTCGCCTCGGGACTTCATGTCTAATACAGCTGCCGATCGGATCTTGAAATATTCCTAATAATAAAAATAAATGCGCAAAATCGGTTCAAAATGTTCATAGAAGACGATTGAATAATGTATGCGTTTCCTCACGTTTGGCGAGAGTTCTTCTTCGACGGGCTTCACCGCGTGATGTTGTTGGTTCTGATGACCACTTTGCGGATGACCAGGGCGAGGGGCTCGCCCACCGCGACCACCCCTATGCTTTCCTTTTCCATCGCCTTTTTCGTTTCTGATGGGACAAAATTTTGAAATAAAACCTACGACTTACAAAGGCATTCAGTCCAATAAAACTGGTTAATTTCAACAATGAAACGATGTATTCAGTACCGAGTAAGTACTAAAATGGTTCAAGATATCCGCTGCTACAACTTACACAGAACGGAGCAGAGAATTTCCAAATAACGATAGGATACAATCAGGGATATTATTTATTTCGACAATTTAAAAGTTCAAATGGTGGAATAGCTCATATCTGATTGAAAAGCTCAAGTTTTCCAGTCTAAATTGGTAGAATCAGGCGTAATTTTTGTGGGAAATTAAATTTAACAAGATGTTACAATTTTCTTTCCTGCATTTCAAATGAGCATAACAAGAATACGTTAGCTAAAAATAGAAACGCATCCATCATTTATATGAAGATTAAGTTGACACTTCTGAGTCCAAATCTAACTTAGAAGGATCAATAGTTCTTGAGATAATGTGGCTTTTCCGTCTATTTCAGCGACGTTTTCAGGAGACGATTGTTTCAAAACTGTCAAGAGAAAATTACATCACATTTTAATCCCTTTTTTATTCAGCATAATTATGCTTTTGAGTGGGTGTACTTCATGACATTTTTGAGAGGATCGCTTCAATATTTGAGGTCCACATTATATAAAAATTTTCAACGCTATCTATCATGGCTTGGACCTAAATGGAGCTCATTAATAAATTCTATTGAATTTTCGATGTGGCCTTTTCAATCCAAAACCGAAAATTTGCAGTGTCATCCAAACTTGGTCATAAACGCAATTAGATTCAAAATCCTGTCATCAGCAGAATTTCCCATTTTTTCTCCGCTTTTTCTTTTACATGAAATTGAGTGAACTTGACAACTCACGACGCGGCTTTTTGCTCAGCTTGCTCTGGTGATGACATCGTGCCAAGCACCTCCACACAATATTTCCTCGACCACTGCACCCGCGAACACAGGAACCGACTAACACCACGAGTTCCAACTAATTTTGAACAAACATGAACCATTAACGTCACTCGCGTCAATTTCTAAGAACACAAATGATCGCATCAAGCAAATACACAGCGAAGAATCTGCAAAGAAAAAACGCATCAGTGCTATCGAAATCACAACGAGACATTGAAATTTCGATGGTATTCAAATGAAGTATTTCGATTCCGAAGTTTTATTTGGAAGTAAAAGTTCTGAATCCCAAAAAACCTCGTTCAATAACTTCATAATTTCAAAGGGCACCAGAGACTATTTTTATGTCACAAAATCAGACCGCAATTGTCAAATCAGGGAACATAAACGCACAGCCAAATGGCACGCAAGAAGAATGACAGGTAAGTACACGAACGAGGGATACACAGTGCACAACCAACACAAAATGAGATCAAAATTGACTCGAACACATAGAACCAAATCCGGATTTTGTACGAATCTGGTGCCTCATCACCGACTTGTTCCAACCCGATTTCGAGCTAAAACATGAAAAAAACGAACTCTGAAAAACGAGGGAGAGAATCTCCGGAGAAACTCGAGTGATACATCATCGACGAACTTTGCAATGGCTCTGATTTTTTTTTTTTCGTGAAAGACACAGGAGTCACTTTGTTCACACACGGGAAATGAAACAGAGATGGGAAGTTCTTTTTCCTCGGATTTCAGGACCTTCCAAAACATGCAGAATTTCCTGGGTGCTTCGACGAGTGCCCAGGAAATACGAGTACATCGAAGTTCGCAAAACTGCTACACGCAAAAGCGAAAAGGGATCACGTCACAATTTCAACAGGCATGAGAATATTTCCTGCAACCATGTGAAGATCACGCTACAAATACGTCGCAAACCATCCCGTAAATATGCATTCGGAAATGAACAGTAAAATGCAAGTACTGTACCGTACATGAGAGGCAATTAACTGTAGCGATAGCATGCACACAAAAAATGAAGATATTCGTCCAAATTCAGCTTCCCAGCGATCAAATTTCTGTTATTTTGAAACTTTAAATGCGGACAAAAATGTCTTGGCTCACATCACCCAAGGTAAGCAAAAACAAAACCGTGATGCAATTTTTTTCACGTAAATACAGTAAATCAACGGAACCTGTCCAATACCGGTGAGAACAAAACACGGTGCTCAGTGCGTTTTAAGGTTGTAGGAGGACTTCAAACGAACTAATTAAACATAAAAATGCCTAAACTTCGAAGAGAGCGTGACGTGATCCCAAAATTTCTTAAACAGACATCACACGCAGAAAAAACACTCCGAATTAATCCGAACAAAAACCAGGACAACTTTTCGAGGACGATCAACACGGGTAACCGAACAGATTCAACAACTTTGGCTGAGTTCCAAAAAGTTTTGGCATGTCTCGACCGCCAGTATGACTTTCCCATAACCCCGCAGTAGAGTATGAATGACTGAAAACCCGCTTCAACGTAAGATAAGATTGTTCAAAAATCCGAACCCTGAACTTCAAAAAATGCACGCCTTCCAGGGCTAATGATCATACGAATAGTGGCGGCTTCAGTGGGATCCGCGTCCGGAAAACATCGCACTCCCCTGCCCATGGTCCAAGTGCAACTTGCAGTTGCAGAGAAAAAATGTAGCCATATGGGTAATCGAGAATAACTGTGGGCAAGATAAAAATTCGCTCAACATGCTTAGGACTCCAGGTACAAGTTGGAGCTGAATACGTCAGCGAGGGAACGAAGCAACTATAAGGGAGGTGGAAGGTTAAAAAAGTAGGAAATTCGATCCGACGCATCGCGACTAATCAACCTTAATCCTGCCGTCGGCATTTTCGTTGTCAACAATTTTCAGATCCGACTCGGAATCATCTTCGTCTTCGGAAATTCCGAAGTCTTGATTTGGCGAAAAGCTGGGTTCTTTCGTAGAAGAGCTGATAACTTTTGCAGTCGTTGGTCGTCCAACCATCAAAATCTCTTCTGGGAAGTCTAGAACCACCGTCATGTGGAACATCATGATCGTCGCGGCCAGAATGTACTCGGTCAGCGAGAACCAACTGAAGGCTAAGATGAAAATACAAATAAGTTCATCAACCGCAACACAGACCAAAGGCCCCGGTTGATTACTCTATAAAGTCAATACCGTTGTCAACTACAGCGTCGAAATGACAGCTGGATGAAAACTCAATTTCAGTTCATTATTTTGCTATATTTCACAGTCCTCCTATTGATGGAAGCCTTAAATTTAAGCGTCTTTTTGCATCAGAGGATGAAACATCTTGAAACGCAATTAAAAAAAAAATTGCCAATGCGGTTAAATGAAATAAAACAACTCCTTCATAAAAACTTATAATCAGGGAAAAAATGCAATGATATTAATTCCACGCAAAGACATGCAAAACATTTAAATTTGAAAATACTGTACAGTACTGAATATTCAAGATGTAGGTCTCCTCTTCTTCTTACGGGATGATTTTTGCGAGCCGAAATAAAATTATTTCAAATTGACACCCAGGTTTCCTCCGCTTGCATTACAAACGCATCAGTGACCCGCAGAAATTTGGAGAAACCCTTGGTGGAATTGTAAAAAAATGAATTGTTGTAACCTTATGAATATTCGGTTAGGAGCCACAAAGAAATTACAGTATAAGAACAAAACGGAGACAACCCAGAGGTTAACTTACCCAACGGTTTACACAAGAAACGGTGACGGTAGAAGAACACCAGAAGCAACGCTGTGAGAAGCACCACCGAGGCAAACAGTTGAAGTTTTCGTCTGTAAGATGTTTTCCTGTGATCTCTATCATTCCCACGGCTAGCATTTGCCAAGGTTCTCTCAATCAGCACTATCACAAGCATATTGCTTATGGCCATGGAAAGAAACGCCACGAAGCATTTTTCATGAATTGCTAAAAAATAAAAAGGAAGGCAAGTAATCCCACATACATATGCATTCTGTGTAAAATCCGATCTACTCACGGTAGTTTTCCTTGTTTGAAACGTAAGTGACGGCGACAAGCGCAAAAAGCTCCAAATTATGAAGCCAGTGTGCAATTTGGACAAGGCTTCGATACCTCGAAAGCTTTTCCGAAGGGACGGTGGAGGATAAACCGGTATAATGAGCCCTGTACGTCCAGGACACCAGAAAACGCGGGGCAACATGGAATGCCATGCAAATTCTCCATATGTAACGTTGAGGGGAAACACCAGTTATTGCCGAGATTGACGGAATAAAATTGTATACCTTTCAGGAGAAAGACACAATGAATCGTAGAAGCACGTCTTTTCAAAAGCAGGGAAAAACTTACAGGACACATGGTTCTGTTGAGGCTCTCTCCGTGCATGTAGATGGCTGACATAAAGCATGTCAACATGCCCAGGACCGGAAGAGATACAATAAGGAAACACAGTTTTCTAAAACTCATATAAACAAGCGGTACAACTTCGTAAATCATCGCGCAGCGGGGGGGCTAAGAAGCCTTAACCTGCAAGACTAAAATTATAACTTCTGTCAGTCGATTGAAATGAGTAACACATGGAATAAAAAAGCAATGCAGCCCTGAATTCATGGAAAAGTTCAATCACTCAGGGTCGTAATATCGCTTCTTCATCGCACGATACTTCCGCAATTTGTACATCGCTTCGAATTCTTTTATCATGTACTCCCCACGCTTAATCAACACCCGGATTCTCTCAGGATCGGTTTCGTCCTTGTGCTTCATGAAGGCTTGTTTCAGTTTTTCTCTGAAATAAGGAAGTCCCAAGGGGTACTCCTTACCCAGATAAATCATCTGAAGGGCAAATAAAAGCGCTCAAGTCAGAAGCTGAGATGAACCAAGCAGAAACTAACCCACCTTCTTGTAAAGCTCTGTGGAGAGCGCATTACGCGGCATATTCATTCGCCTGAAAAACTGAGGAATTAAGTCACAGGATAATTTCAAAGATACTTCAGAGAATACACAAGGTATAACTGGGCTCAACCACCGTTTATCATTGGGACGTTAAAAAGCATCTGCTCATCCCACATTAGCAGCGACAAAACAAAATCAAAAGGAAAACAAAGAGCAGACACTGCATGCAGCGGGTACAGATTGATTGCAAGTGGAATTATGAAACGGCAGAGAATCTTCAAATGTCATTTCGAGGCAGCAGAGTCGACTAAAACACCAGTAGATTCCGGAGCGGATTTTTCATCCGTGGGGCCTTCCGCTTCATTTTTACTGTCGTCCCGCTGAGGCAAGCCGGAGAGTCGGATATTATGTTTTTCTTTGTAGTCAACAAGCTCTTGACCTTTCAAAACAGCCTGCTTGTTGAGGGCCTCTACGACTTTATCAATTTGTTCTACATTGTTCTGCAATGCAGGAAGGACTTGGCCGACGTTGCGTTCCACGAGTATGCCACCGATGAGTCGGTAACAACGTCGGGCAGGATCGACATCTTTCAAAGTATTGATAACGAGATTATGCTCGGCGCGTTCACTTTCAAGCTCGGTAATTTTCTGAGTCAATCGTCTTTGTTCGGCTCTGAGAGCGTTGAATCCACCGATTATCTCTTCCGTCATCTTTTTATTTGCTTGCGGCTTTGCTTTCAACGTTTCCGCCATTCCGATTCTCCACTCTCACATAAACCGAAGCGCACAATTTCTAAGCAACATGAGAGCATGATTAAAAGTCAAGGACGAAATCACACATATACTATTCACCAGTTTTTTCACGTGATCACGATACACATGTTCAACTGCTCCGTTCATCGAAATCCGGAAGGATGCAGGGCACAACAAGACCACATGAGTTATTAGCACAGCAACAACTCATCCATTCAACTTCATCGTCATTCCCGAAATAATTGCATGCCATTTCGTCATCCACTTCTCATCCCCGATTTTCGATATTCGAACCCACGAAGCCAGCTGAAATCCGACAGAGACCGGTTACGCTATGCAAAAAGGTGGGATAAAAGAACTACCAATGCATACTGTACCAGCTGCAACGTGTTCCTACAGTGCAGCATATGCTTCCGTGACTAGATTATAGAAAAAATATAAGTAGCCACAAGTTTGGTCAAGTAGTCAATTTGACCAGATTCCAGATAATTGAGGGCCAACTTTTCAAGTGAACTTTTGAATTTTCGTCTTAACGGAAAGACTGCGCAACATGCTGTACAGCAGTACAGTGGGAAGCTGTAAGTAAAGAGCTTCAAGCATGAAGTGAACCATGGCAAGTACACAACAAACTACTGTCAGACCTGTTTAAATTCAAAATCTCTCCAAAAAATGCGTTGGTCCCTTTACAGGAGCTGGTAGAAATATCATGCATAACTTATTTAAATTATATATGCTAGTTTAAATGTAACCATTCATATAGCATCACACAATTTGAAGGGTGCTGTTTTTCATTTGTCCTAGTTTACAGCAAGAACTGCTCAGGTGAGTATAATGCTTTTGTATTATTGTTATTAAAAGACAGCAATGAAGTATTTTATGAGTACGGAAATTTAATCATTCCTGGATGGATGCATGCGGCAAATCTTTCGAAGAAAGTGGATTAATCTCACCTTAGCTCAATAAGATGGAGGAAGGGCGTTTTATTGAATAGGCAAAGGTTTGATTGGGTATAAACGTACTGTACTGTATAATCTTATCTTAGCCATGCATGGAGTCATCAGGCTGTAAATTAATAATTCACATTGCGGAGGGACCATATGATGGCAAAAATTGCGCCTGAATGATAACATTTTGTGAAGGATTTTCCTTACGAAAACCAATTGCAACAAAAATCGACTTTTTCAATTTAAACTCAAATAAAAAGCAAAAATGCATGGTGAACTACAAGAACAAATGTTATGTCTATCACTTCAAAATGAGAGGGACTCTTGGGATGAAAAATTATGAAGTGGCCACTCATTCATCGAAGACGAAGAATTTTTAAGAAGTACTGTAATCGATAATCTGCAACCATCAGATTGACTAGAAACAGAAATTGAAAATCTTCGCCAAGAGTAAAAACTCCGGTAGACGGACTGAAAACACGTTTTCTATTACATACCGTATTTCCTTGCGCGTATCCAACAATAAATTTCGAAAAAAAGAAACACAATCAGCGAAAAGAACTCCGCTACAATTTCCCAGCACGAACTTGCTCGTTTTTTTTTTTTTTTTTTTCTGCGCAGAAAGACTTGCAATCTTTTCTTCTTCACACAGACATAACACTCAAATGAACATTTTCCCGAAACTCAATTTTTCCTCGCAAAAAAGTCTACTCCAGGAAAACGGGGAGCGTGCAAATATGCAAGCGAAACAAAGAAGTTTCTAGTCTCTGTCCGAACATTGGCACAAATTCTTCCTCTTGTCATTTTTTATCCTAATCAGCATGCGTTCAGTTTCCCAGCTGCTTCCGTTATTTTTCCATTCCACAAACTTGAACGGTCAGGCAGAAAGAGCAGATTTTCGGATGACCACCCAAAACAATCGAACGAAACTTCGATTTCGAGCTGATACACAGGAAGTTCAGAAGATCTAGCGTCGCATTCATCACTCGACAGGGAACACTCGCGAACTTGTCAAAACAAAAAGTTTCTCGAATCGCCAAAAAAAAACTGTCTTAAGCGTTCATAAATAACTTTCCGATCCACATCGAAATTTTCAAAATCGAAAAAAAAAACAGCAACATCAATATTCTGGAAGTCGTCGAATGAGTCTTAAATTATACAGCATTACAGGTCAGTGTCATACCAAGCAGCAGCCTGGGTGTTGTCTTGGGGTGGTGGCGGCACTCCTGGTCCCATGTGGTGCCCAAGATGACGTCCTGGTGGTCCCACCATATCTCCATGGTGAGGGAAATCCATTGCATCCATACCGGCAGGCCCATACGGATCCTGCATAGCATCCATGGGATCCATTCCTGATACAAACGAATAGTAAGCTATAATTTACACTCAAGAAATAACATGAAGCAGGGGAAAAGAATCCGCACCCTCAATAAAATGTGGCATCATGTTAATATCGAAAAAAATTTGAAATGAATCCTTGCGGGATTTATTTTAAACTATTTGAAAGTTAACATTTGGTGAGAAGGTTGCCTCTTAATTTCGAAAAATTCTTCAATTATACGCTTTGCGTCAAGCCTCCATTAACCTCAGAACCTAATGAACTATTCTAGAAATAATTTCAGAATGAATCCTCTCAGGATTAATTTAAATTTTACCAGTATTCAAGTTAACATTCTTCGAGATGATTGCTACTTAAATTCGAAAGATTCTCAAGTTAATTTTACAAGAATCTTCATTTGCACTTCGCGGCAGTAGAATTACTAAAGGCATCCGTTTCTCTTTTTTACAAGGTGAGGAATAAATTGGTTTATTTTTGCATCTTTGAGTTGAAAAAAATATCATACCGCATGAAAATGAGACGCAAAGCTCAACATCTCTAGAAAATAAAACTCATGGAATTGAACATATTTCAGTCATTGTGGCGCATTCAAGCTAGAACTAGCGTCAATTAAATCCATCAAAATTGATTTCAACACAGGAACTAGATTGTTCCTTAGGATTCTATAGCACGCGTAATTCAGTACAACACAAACTGGTGTACAATTGAACCAAAACAAGGAGAAGGAAGGAAAAAAGGACTATAAACATGCAAAATCAAACCTTGACTATAAGGCGTAGGGCCAGCATGACCAGAATGCACAGACGGTGGGCCAGAGCCGTATGTATCATAACTTTGCTCAAAATGCTGGTCAACCGCACGAATCATGTCATTCATATCCCCTTGTGTCATCAAGCCTCCATTCAACTCAGAACCTACTAAATCAACGTAACAAAAACTCAAAGCTACAGAAGACCGAAAGTAATCTAGTTTAAAAACAAAACTATTTAGCCGCACCTCCCCAATATCCTCCGCCAGATGGATCATCCCTGAACAGGATCGAGTTGGTGAGTTCCTGGCTCAGCCGCTTCTTGTAATCCTGCGGTTTGTCTTCCGACATTCGGAACAATATGGCTGCCGCATATGTTGCTACAAAAAACCATCAACCAATTAAACCAGAAGTTTCCCCGGTATAAATTAAGCTTTAGTAAAATTTAACATGAGCGTTGTAAGCATATTCCCCAAAAATAAAACCTAGTCCATATTGGTGAAATTTCTTTCGAAAAATCGATACAAGCCTACATTTTACAGGGAAAACCAATGCATAATTAATGAATAAAACGATGCGACTCTTATTGAATCTTAAAATTTTAGACTATTTAGAGCAAGTACAAGAAAGTTACGTATTACACGTATCTTTCTCCGCAAGATCAGAACAGAGCAATCTAGAAATAATTCCCTTCTGCGGTATTTACGAGTTTAACAAAAGAGCAGTACTTGGAAAGTCTTCATGTCTACGAAAGTTTTCCACGAAATCACCTTCTCCCAGTACCACTTCGAAGATCTGCAATGTCATGTTTTCTAAAAGCTTCAATTCTCAACAGACTAATGTTACAGTACATCATGACAATGACTGTGCACAACGTATTTAGAGAAATTACAGTATACAGTGCTCGATACAGGAAATTGCGGTCTCGTCAAACTACGAAACTGAATAATTATCGGATAAGAAAAACTCATTTTTGAGGCTGAGAAGCAATGCGGATAAATTATTTTTCATAAATGAAGAAAAATTAGGAATGCCCAAGGATTTGCAGGGCCTAGGAAAATGTTCAAAAAGTTTAAAGTGCAATAAAAAAGTTCAAGGCATTGAAACAGCCGGTATTATAGTTATTTATTTCTTAAGCCTCAAACAGGCAGAAGAACATTTCGTTGCACGTTGAAAATCATTATCCTAGAGAATGGGGCATGTTTTTACTAAATTAACCATCAAAGATAGGAAGAATATTCGTCCCGACCAAATCCCCGAAATATAAAACATAGCGCTTAGGACCAGATTTCAGTTTAAAGGAAACAAATTCTGTTCAGTTTCGTTCGAATAAATTCATGTATGCCCTTACCAACGCCTTCATTATGAGAATTAAGCAGCTCTGTCAATGGCGCAGTAGCTCCTTCAGCTTCAATCATCTCCGCTCCTTCCTTCTCCATTGACAGTTCGCACAAGACCCCAGCAGCCACCCGCTGAATGTTTTCAATCTCGTTGAACAGCAACTGCGAGAAAACACAGAAACGACTCGATTAATGAACGATGGGGTCAAGGGAAAGTTCGTTATCTAACATGTATTTTCACCGGGCAATTTATAGCTAAATAGTAAGACCAATTCTTTCCAGCAAATTTTCTTCTTATTCCTACAACGCTATGCTTTTGATTCAATGCATAGCACCAAATTAAAAATTTGAAGCTTTTTATTTAAAAGTCGGCAGTTTGGAACCACACAAATCATTGTCTATTGTGGCCTGCATAGACTCTCAACCTCTGCAATGTGGCCTATGCCCACGAAAATGTACGGTACTTATATGGCTTTTGGATAAGTTTGAGTTGAACGGCACAGCCTCAGAGTAATCACAACTTACTCCAACAAAGATGGGTATGACAGAGTGGCCACGGATGATCGCTCGATTGTGCGGATCCCTGGCCAGGATATGCAACGCCCCCACGGTCCCCTCTATAATCTCCTCCATTCGCACGCCGTCCATGTAAACAGACTGCGGTGGTTGGTTCCCTGCTCCGCCTCCAGCCCTCTGTGGAAAGACAAAGCCTCATCAAAAGTGCATTTGCATTTGAAATGAGGCAGACTTCGATCCAAATTCGTTCCCGGAAACATACAGACATCACTGAGCAAGCTGAAAAACATGTTACAGTTTGTTCTCACAATTCTTCAAGTTTACTGTATTTGGAAATGGACTGTCATATTCAATTATATTCATCCACAATTTTCTTTCCGGAAAGAAGGACACTGCACATGAACTGTTCAGAACTAAATTTTGCAAAACGACTGTATTTACTTGAGGACCAAGCGTGCTTTTTTCCTCAAAACTGATAAAAAAAAAAAGGGGCGCGCGTCATAGGCGGGTATCCATTTTCAAAAAAGGTTCATAAGTTAAGGTGTGGATTATAAAGGTGTTTGATTCTAAAGGGAATTTCGTAGCAATTTCAACAAAAAATTAATCGTAACGGAATTCATTTCAAATTAGTTGAATTCAGGATTCATTTCCGTCAAAATTCGAATTTGGGCATTCTTATTTCTGAAATGTTGGAGTTTTTACAAAAAATGGGATGCGCATCTCACTTGGGAATACAATTATATAGAATTTTTTACTGAGAAACCCTTTTGCGCGTCTTACTCGAGGGCGAGTGTAACTCCAGTAAATACGGTAATTAATCTAAATATGTACTAATTTTCAAAATCCCTTCCTCGAACAGCTTACATAAGGCTGATATTGAAGATAAAAGTCATCACCCCTTCAATTCGTCCTACTTTTGGACAAATGCGGAATGATTCTGAACTTGAAAAAATTGAAATAAAACTATATTGAAGGAGTAAAATGATGTAAGCTTTCTGAAAGGTTAAAAACCCTGATCGTCATGAAAAAAGCGGTTACCCTCGCGACTTCTTGATAGGCCTCCACCAGCAAGCGGACGAGGCGCGGAATGGCTTCATGTTCGCGCAATGGGCCATGGTTGGCTGGACAGAGGGCCAGGTTGCGTATAAGGCCAATGAGGGCCTTGATCAAAGGCCAACGTGATGGAGGGTGCAGCAGTTTGCTAATCACGTGGATCCCCATTGCCAAACGAACTGTATTTTGCGCCATCTCTGCTTCCGGGTGGCGTGACGTCAAGTGCCGCAATGCACATACCTTCAAAAATACGCATGATCATTAACCAAAAACATACACTGACTTAGAATATATTCTATAGAATCTATACATCAGTACTTTACTTCAAAAGGACAATCGTTTCAACGTCAGGTAGATGTCACTGGAACTCGAAACAGAATATTAATTTAAACCAAGTTATTCCAATATCCTCCAGCTTTTGTACAAAGCGGAACCAGGAATAGAGGAGGATTACTTCGATTCAGGACAACCAAGGTAAGTACTTTTACAATAGAATCAGTAAATCATACACCTTCAACATATTCAAAGTGAATTTTAACGCACTCCACTTAAAATTTTGGATCCATCGGAAATACTGTACTGACTTTTCCACTGGGAAGAAATCTCACTAGCACCTACAATTTCATTACAGCTACGCAGTCTCTATCTTTTCTTTTTCTCTGCTTCAAAGAGGAGGAAAGCTCGGAATATAATGAGTGTAAATCCGTTTCGAAATCAAGAATGCCATACAGCATTTCGAAGACCATGAAAACACTCATTTCTGAAAACTTTGGTTTTGAACGCAAAAACGAAGTTGATTCTCACGATTTCCTCATTTTAAAAAATCACAGAATTAAACCCTTGGACAGGAAATCCAGTAACTCACGGCTGGTTCACTGATCTCCTCTCGTTCTCCAGCGTTACTGATAGTTTGCACCAAAGCCTCAACACCACCCACTTGACAAACGGCGACTTTGTTCCGCTGATTATTGCACGTCAGGTTAGACAAAATTCCGGCAGCGCACGTGACGATATTGACATCGTTCGAACCGAGCAAAACAACCAGCCCTTGCAGCAAGTCCTCGAGTCCGTCCTAAACAAAACAAGGAACATAATTTTATTAGCGAATCATCAATACTATTAAAGCTCGCGGAAGTAAAAAAAAATTCCATTCGCCAAAAGTCTCAATGTCTTCAAACGAAACTCACAATTTTGGTGCCAGCGTCGGATAAGTTTCGAAGGGTCCACAAGCAATTTTGGACAAGTCTTTGGGATGGAGATCCCAAGTGCATTGCCAAAGCTTGCATGCCATTTGCTTCCACAATAGCGGGTTTGTTGCTGGAGCACACCGACAACACCTTCAGCACCCGCGACGTGGTCCACAGCAGCTTTTCATACGTGTATGTCCTCATGATTCGCACCAACTCAACTGGTCCCTAAATTGTGAAGATAATTTCGTGGTACAATATTAATATAGCATACTACAGTATTTCGTTTGACACGGGAAATCCGAAGGAATGAAACGCATTACAAAACAAGAATGGAGGAAATCTTGAAAATATGTACATGAATCGCTATCACCTTGCAGACAAAAAACTTCCACGGTACTAAGAATAAAAATAAAATGCACAGGATTCCTAATGGCTGTCATGAATTGATTTCGTCAGATGAACACTCCACACTTCCACTCGATGAATTGGTTCAATTGGAAGATGGAACGACCCCATAGCAGCGTTTTTCAAAAAATGACATACCTGAGAGGCCAAGATGATCAACTTGCTTTCCTGGTTGCCGTAAGCGAGAATTTGCAAGCAGTCGGTGACAATCGCAAGGAATTTATGGTTATTCCGCTGCAGCAAGGCAACCATCTTCTGCAAACCACCGGCTAGGCGAACCGCCATTTTCGAGCCTTCCTGGTGCAAAAGCAGGTTGTGTAAAGTGGTGATAGCGTAAAAAAGAACACTTTCGACGGGCGAGCTGAGCAGCTTCACCAAAGCACGGATTCCGTCACTCTTGAAGATGGCCAACAAGCCCTGCGAGTGTTGAGACAAGTTGTGCAGAGTTCCGACCGTCACACGGGTCGTTTCCAGGTCGTTGGAACACGACAGTGCGCGTATCAGAGCAGTGACCATTTGTTGCGAGTTCATAATGGCTCGAAGCGACGCATCTTTCTTGGAGAGCTGGTGCACGACCATCGCGGCTTGCGCAACCACGACCTATGCGACAATTCGCCGTCAATATAATCACGAAGTCATAACTGACTCACACGAAAAAATAAACTCACTTGATCTTCGTCATTGAGCAGCTTGATGAGTTCCGGAATCGCACGAGATGCCAATTCGGCGTCGTCTTGGTAATTGATGAGGTTGACTACAGCATGTTTGAGCATTTGCGAGGGCTCGGAAAGACGCTGGATCGCCGTCGGCTGCGCTGGATCAAACTGGGCAGAAGGAATTTCCATTCCTTCTTCGAGCGTCTCAGGAAACATAGCTGCTCGAACCCTTTGCGACCTGGTTTGACTCAACTGTGCGTTCATGTCTGAAAGACATATTTGAGGATGAAAATCACTTCCTAACGCGGGTTTCACAGTAACTAACCATTAACTTGATCATGCGTGTAGCCCTGAACATATCCAGCGTCAAGATCAAAGAGAGTTGTGTCCATGTCTTGGTCCTGGTCTTTTCCCGATAATGACGGCGCTGTTGTGGTAGCCCCAGAATGAACTCCGGAGTCCTGTCCACTCATGTAATTCGCCTGCTGCCACATCATGGTTTGTTCTTTTGTATTCATATCTTGACCGCCGTATGATCCATGACCTTTCCGAAGAGATAACGACACATCAGCCAAACGAACTTAGTTGGGCTTCGAAAGCGCGATCGTGTTGTCCCATGAACAATACGTAAAATAAAGCACGACATAACTCACCACGACTGCCTGACTGAGGCATTTGATAGCTCATACTCGCGATCCCAGAATCGCTGACAACCAGATTAACAACCACAATATCCTATCGTTCGGGTTTCAAACGGTGTAGCATACATACGCAGGAAAACAAAATGTTTCCCGTCCGTACACCTGCAAGAAGAGCACTTCGAAGTTCCAATTAATTTGACATGTTCGGTTTCCCCACGTGCGCACAGGGTCAAGAGAATCACAAGCCGAAAGATATGTGCACTTCAACAACCAATGAGCATGGTGTACAAGAACGCTGACATGTCGATAGGATAAAATAGAGCAGTTTCTGAACCTCACAGAACGCTGCAACTAATCGCCAGCTTGCGACATAAAACTAAGTGAAAACTGGAAAGTTTTCACTTATCACCATGCAATTGAATCATTTTTTTAAAAATAAAAATCTGAAAAAATCCCAGAACCTTAAAATAGCACGGGCTACATCATATATATTGTTTTACAGTGGTTCCCACTCTAGAAATAATCCAGGTCAATCAAAAGTCTGGCAATCTTCCTACATTAATTATTGTAAGGATGTCTCAAGGATTTTTCTGCTATATACTGTATATCATATATGCACTGCTGTATGTTAAAAATACATACAATACTTAATTCATACAGTGCTGTTGTCCCTTCAAGTCTTGAAGATTCTGCATTGTGCATGACTTGAAATGGTGTCCGTCCCCTTGTTATGGACGTGCTTTACACAAAAATTATCTCATCTGCAACACATGTTTTTCTAGTCCATTGATTTTTTCATTTTATGTTGTCCACAACTTATTGTTTCCGAAATGATGCTATCACGAATGATCAAGCAATGCCAAATTACACGTCTATATATAAGGGTACGGATTCTCTTTTTTTTCGCCGCTATTGCCGACGATTTTTGCATATATATACAGTAGGCATTCATAAGAAAGGAATGAACATGAATTGAGTGGGAAACATTTATTATCCTGAAGATGGGTAAGCAGCAGAGAAAAGACGCAGCTAGCATGCTGTGAACAAGAAAATATGATGTCTATACCGTAATAGTACACCGCATATTATATATGCGGTGCACTATTATACATCATATTTATACATTTTTTATACGGAATTTGTGTGGATACTCCCATGAGAATTAAAATTGAAAAATTTTCTGCATCGTGTTTTTCCGATCTTGAGCACGATTTTTGTACATATTGGTCCGCGGATTGGGCGAAAATATATTTGCTTGCTGTGAGAATTGATTGCGATTATTCTGTGATGATACTTATAACGTGAATTCATTTAAGAAAAAAGATTCGGTACGTATTGAAAGTCACCATTGCTATATAATCGCTCATAAGACACTGCTGCATGTACCTGTATAAGTACAGCACATATATAAGCGTGCAAAAAAAGACGAGAATTGTCGTGATTTGATAACTGTACGCCGCGCGGTTCGTAAAATTATCCGATGATGAGGAAAAACCGAGAAACGACTCCATAGAGGCGAGTGAAGTAATTGTCTGTCAACGGGTGCGTTCTGTTGGGGAACAGGATGCTCTTGAGACTCGGCAGTGCTGGTGTCGTATTATCTTCTTCGGAATCCGACCAGCCATCAGTCCCAAATGGGTCCTCAGTCCCAAATGGATCCTCAGTCCCAAATGGGTCCTCAGTCCAAACTGGGAAGCCAGTCCCATCTGATCCGAATGGGTCATCAGTCATCCTTGCCGATAATTGTGGTGCGCGAGCAATTTCAATTCCGGTCTTGTGGCGCAGGCGGGTGTCGTCAACGTGGTCGATGTTTTCGCTTTCCACCACCATCATCGTCTGATGGGCATTGCGTTGCTGAACTCGACCTGATATTCGAGTTATGTGATGAGACGAAAAAACACGTATGCAATCAATAAGGCGGGTTCTGTTTTTATAAAATAGTGAAAAATTATCACGCGTTCTATACTTGCTGTACGTAAACGCACGATTAATTTCACCTGCAGCAGAAATTAAGCAGATATGAGAATCTTAGGGGGGGAGGTTTATAGAATATACATGTATTATATACGAACCAGCAGAACATACGTCGCCCGAGTTGAACGTGTAAACGGTGATTAAGACGATTGCCAACATCGCATCTCTCGAATGCATGTTGATAATGTTTCCAGCAGGTAAACAAACACTCAATAAATATATTAATTGAACGATATCTTTTGTTCAACGAAAATCACGTTTGATCCGATCTTGCGATTCAGAACCGCTGTTGATATTATTGCTGCGTTTTTGGACTATAATCCTGCGAAGAAACGATTAATTAATGCCTGCTGATCAGTTTATTTTCGCAATGCGTTTTCCTAACAAGTATACGCAGCAATTTACACTTGGAAATAAGTTTTTCTGCGGGAATTTATGCGATTCAGACTCCTGATATACTGTATAGCAAACAATGATTAACGATATCGTCGATGATGTGATCTGATGACAGTTGCCTCAGCAAATCGGCTTTATATATGAGGATGCGAGAATGATTGACATCTCGTGTGCTCTAATTTTTTTTTTTATGGCTTGCCCTGACGAACAATTGAAATGCTGGGGCATTTCGTCCCCGTTTTTCTGCACAAATCCCCCTCCAGCATGTAATCGCATTGTTTTTCTCCTTTGAACTTTTACACTAGTTTAATAAATGTGATGATTTGGCAACATACCCAGCGCGAGCGTTCCACTTTTTTTGCGAGATTGAAAGTTTACTAAAAAAACCAACCGAAAAAAGGCTGAGAATACAGTATATAGTATCATGTTTCAAATCAGCCTAACTCACAGACTCATGCACATTATATTTAGCCATTATTTGTGCATAAACATTCGAATCGTTCTGTTCAGTTCAAAGTTCAATATATATAAGAAGCAAGTTTAAAAAAATCAACTGAGGGAGGTTTCGACGTAATATAGCAGAAAGTGAGCATTTCAATCATTGGAAAAAAAGAATTATTGACCCTTATTACAGGAAATTATAATTGATGATATTTTTTGTCCTTGCTGAATTGATTTTTGAATGAGTTACGCGCGTGAAATATTTTGAAATCAATATATACTGGAAGATAAAATGCTTTCATCGCCTCAATATATTATGGAGTCGTGTCTCGGCTTTTCTTCATGGGATAATTCGATACTACGACAGTACGAAGCAAGCATGCATTGACTGTGAGGTCTTTTTCTTGTTTCTATCTGTCGTAGCTGAATAGTGGATGAAACATTGAATATACTGTAGACACCAATGAAGGATTGAGGATGAGGAAAAGGAAAAATTGCATCCGCCTCC